CTAGTAAAACAGAGAAAGTCTAAATCTCCAGAGGAAATCTGCTATAGCGATCTTTTCTGACCTTGTTTATTCACTAGTGTTTCTATTTTCTCCACTTCTATTTAACTTTTAGTCAATGAAATTTAGAAGGGCAGGGCTCATATGCTGGCATACAATGAACAGAATGATGTATTGCTTGGTATATATATATATATATTTAACACTGAAACTAACTGCTTCTGTTTATGGCAGAACAGAGAAGAGAAATTTGAGGTTCACCTAGTTTAGCAGTGAAAGGTATTAATGACAAGTTGTCAGAAAGTGTTAATTAGGGAGAACTGAAGGTTGACTGTATTTGCACTGGTGTTCTTGAACATCACAGAAGGTACATGGGATGTGAGCCCTGCTAACCTGCTAAGCAATACCAACTTTGAAGCAAAGTCTAAATTTCTTTGTACATCACTGTTTTGAAGAGAGACTGTGTGCTACATCTACACATTGCTTTAGCCATCTCGAGGTGTGTTCCTCAGCTGGTCTTCAAAGTACCTACAGGACTGATTCCCATTGTATGGTTTGAGATCTGACAGCTCTTACTTCTATGACTTTCTTTCGATCAACCACAAAGTGATCGCAGGAGTTGATCAGGCTTAAAAGAGCAGCTGCATCACATTCCTCGGGTCCTGTTTTGTCTGCCAGTCCTCGGGGCATGAAGGCCTGTAGGAGAGGGACAGAAGGAGTTGTGACACAGAGATGGAGCTCAGAAGAGAAAGGAGGGCTAGGGGTGCACATCTGGGAGCCATCAGCATAAAGGCAGTATTAATATTTAACTTTATGGACCTGGGCAGTATCATCAGAGGAGAGCAGGACAGAGGAGGCCTGAGAAAAGCCAACACTCAAAAAGAGGCCAAGGAGTAACCAGGGAAGTAGGAGGAAACCCAGAGGACAATGACGTCACACAGCCAGTAGTGACCGGAGATACTCTTCTTCCTTTGTAGCAGAAAGAAGATGGTGGACATGGAGGTAGGTTGGTAGGTCTTGTAAAGATGAAGAAGCATGTATCTGGGAGTCTTCAACAACTCCAAGAAGCATGAGCAAGGTTAGCATCTGGGATTGAGGGTGGAGGAACACAAGTGAGAGCTTGGCAAGGGAAAGACAGCAACAGTGGTCTCCAGGAACAGAAGTCTATACACAGATGTGGTCAGATGGCTGGGGCTCTCGAGCGAGAACTGAAAGTGACAAGAGTTTATTTTTTTTATTGTTGAGTAATATTCCATTGTGTATGTGTATACACACACATTCATATACATTCTTTATCCATGCATCTATTTATGGATACCTAGGCCGCTTCTACATCTTAGCTATTACTAGCAATAATGCTAGAATGAACATAGGAGGGCATGTATCTCTTTGAATTAGTATTTCTGTTTTCTTCTTACTATTTGTGACAACTTGGATGGATGTAGAGGGTATTATGCTAAGTGAAATAAGTCAGAGAAAGGCAAATACTATATGCTTTTACTTATATGTGGCATCTAGGAAAAGGAATAAACAAAACAGAAACACACTCATACAAGTCGATAACTGATGGTTGCTAAAGGGGAGGGGGTGGAGGAATGGGCTAAAAAAATTAATTGCTCATTAAAAAAAAAGAAAAACTGACAATAAAACCAGCCAGCTCTCTTGTGAGCTTCTTCCCCTGAGTTGAAACACGTGATGATGTCATCAGGGCTGGAGCTGGTCCAGGCAAGTTCAGAGAAATAAGAAAAAAGGAGAATGGGGTCAGAAAAGAATATTCACAGAGGGGTGGAGATCTGTAGGTGATAGCAACAAAACAGGTGGCCTGTGCTTCAAGAGGATTCCGAGAGTGAGAAAGCAGCAACAGAGACCAAACAAGTGAGGAACAGTCATAGTAAAAGGTAGAGATTTAAGTTTTATTGTTTTCTAGGTAAGAGAAGTTGGTAATTCTATAGCGGCTTTAAAAAATGGAGAACAGGGTACAGATGTGGTGGGTTTACTGGTCCACAAGCACCAAGTGTAGGGTCCCTGGCACAATCCAACTTCTTTTTTGAGGTTAGGGAACACAGACTGGCCCAATGTCACAGCAGCTGACCCGGGACTCTGACTTCTGCTTCCCAGGCACCAAGCCTGTGCCTGCTGCTAACTTGCACAAAGGCTGATTCCAAAAGCTATTTTATGTTAGGAGGCCATTTTGCCCCTCCACACCCCCTAGCCAGTTTCTGACAAACATCAAAAAGGAAAAAAAATTTTCCCTCCAGTTGGACCAACCAGTCATGTCAAAATCTAAACCAGTCATGTTGTCAAAATCTAAAAACAGGCCTTATGGTATCTTTCTATCTAGCTGCCTACCCCATCTCTGAAGTTGTATTCCTTAGACGGATACTTAAAAGTCCTTCACAGTTCAGCCTTTTCTTTCCTAACCTCATTTTGCCATCCTCATGGTATGCTAGAACCAAACATAGCTACTAAGGGAGCTTACCCTCAAAAACTCATTTTATATTTCTCTCTCTGTGCCTGTGCTCATGATGCTCATTCTACATCTTGCCCTAGCATCTCTTGTTGAGATCCTTCCTATAGCTTCACAAGTAGGGGTAGCAAAACTCAAAATGTTTTCAGGAAGCAGACAGAAGCCAGCTTCTACTTCACTAAGCTGGGCTGGGTCCAATAGAATAGTCTAGATACCAAACCTTAAACATACAATTTCTCTGAATCTGTTTATGAAGTCCCAGGCTCCAGAAGACTCCTACCTGGTGTCACCACCCTCCAACCCTACAGACAGGTGCTTACCTTGGCCACCTCCCAAGCGTCCACAGGCCAGCGGCCCGGCCGGCAGTTTCCCCAGTGAACGTCTCCATTTCTGTTGGTGTGATGTTTCAAAATCTCCCGTTTCCACTCTGCGCACACCTGACACTGAGGATGAAACTACAGAGGGCGGAGTTAAGGAGGGGCCCCGGGAGTGAAGGGCATTTGGGCATCTGAGCCCCACTCCTTGCGGTCAGCCCCTCACCAGGGAGGGCATGGGACACTGTGTTTGGAACGGGGACAGGGACGGGGTCAGGAGGTGGTGATCAAGGCTCCGGGCCAGGCGCTCACCTGGCGGGCATGCGGGCTGCACCGAGAGCCGCTGCGGCAGGTTGCCCTGGGGCCCAGGCCGGGGTCGGAGGCGAGCAGGCCGTGGTGAAAGGCTAGCATCTCCCGGCCAACGAAGCCCTGCAAGCAGCCGCGCAGCAGCAGCAGGCAATGGCCCGCCTTTACCCAGTTCTTGTACTCCGCGCAGTTGAGGCGAGCTGCCAGCTCAGACAGTACCATGTTTCCGCTCCTACCCTGGAGGCCCTGGGGCCAGGGGCGGGGGGGGGGGCGGGCAGCAGTGCGCAGGCGCAGAACCCTGGGCGGTGCCGGATTCTGCGCTGCCTCGTAGGCGTGGCCCTGCCTGTACCCCGCCCCAAATGTAGACCGTCCCCTGGGCAGAGTGTTCTGGCTCCCGAGGCTCCACCCTAGTCTTACGTGACCCAGACGTAAAAATGCTTCCTCTGGTGCTTGACCGAAAGCCTGCCTGAAACTCTTAATCCCTTTTCTGTCGTTCCCAACTGAGAACCGTCCCCCCCCAGGCGCATATTATCCCCTTGCTTGATGTCCAGAGTCGTTTTTTGTAGGGATACACTTTTATTACATGCTCCTTGCATTATTCGCTTCTAGGAAGTTTACTTAACCTCTTCTTAAACCAAAGATTGGCTGTAGCAAATCAGGGCATTAATGATATGTGACCATGGTATCCTGTTATGTTTGCAGTGTGCCAAGGTGACACAAAGCTCTAAAGCATCTGCTACTGGGCCACCTAGAAGAGGCAAAGTGGACATCACCTGGATTCTGGAAGGTAGCACCACCCTGAGCCAGATAAGGACATCTTTGGCCCTGAAGGTTTTAGCTTAGATGACTGTTTTGTACTCATTATACGATAATTAGTGCTAACTCGGACTCCTCCCATAAGGGAGTCCGAGTTAGGTTCCAAATAATTGTGCCATGAGGGTCGGAATACAATAAATCAACTTAAGAGGTCACATCAGTATTAGTTAGGTTTCATCATCTTACTGAGTTTTGAAAACATGTTAAAATTGTGTGTAGTCAAAAGGTCCTGACGTTAAGAGTCTAAACACTGAAGCTTGCCCCTGACTTCCTATTTCACATCGAAGTGGCAGTGTTCAGAACTAGATCTGGACTCAAATGGCCTCTTCTTAGCTGTTTGATCTTAAGCAGTCTTAAATTTGATCTCAGCAAGTTATTTCATTTCTCTGGGCCTCAGTTTGCTCATCTGTAAAAGGCAGCTATTAATACCTACCATTTGGGTCGTTGTAAGGATTAAAGATACACTGAAATACTTAGAACAGCGCCTGGCAACAGTAAGCTCTAGGTAAACATTCAGCTATTACTTTATATTGACCTAAATGTGCCCTTCCATCAATCAGATTTCTAGGCAAGGTATTTTAACAAATCACAGCCACTTGGAAGCAGAGGCAATTTATAGAAAATTGTAAGATCATGGTCTACTGGAGTTGTGTAGTAAAATGCTGGCTGGCCTCTGCTAAGTTTTTCTTAACAACCTCAATACTAAATCTATACTAAATAAATTTCAAATCATTCCCTTAAGACACACTGTCCATTCCCATCAACACAAATGAAACAAAATTTCACAAGAAACAATAAAATATACATTAACATTTGCCCTTTCTGTCCCTTAAGTCCCCTAACTATAAGTTCTCTTAAAACTTTCAGAATATTGATTTTGTATCAAGAACACTTGGGTAAAAACTAAATATTAAAGCACAATGTAGTAGGTATTTCTTTGGGGGGAGGAAATCATGAAACTTTTTATGTTGAAATTGGATCTGAATTCAGAGTAGTAAAATTGTGCTTCTTGAAGTTATCAAATAAACCAGTTCAAAGAATGATTAACAATAAGCATCCTGTGGCTGAACAGGTTACTGCACTAATTTTCAGTGGTATTCAAATTCAAAATCATATATATTTTAGTTTACATCTGCACTTAGCACTTATCTGCAGTTAATGTTCAAATATAAGGTTCAGCCTATTATTAATAACTTGACATATTCTGTTGAAGTTTTCATTTTTTTCCTAATTCTGAAAGTGCTTTTATACATTCTGAAACAGCATTTCAAGATAGAGAAAAGGTGGCAGATCAGAACCAATTTCTTCTTTTAAGGTTAAATTAATACTAAACCATACTACTACCCAAACATCTTCATGAAAATTAACTAGAGAGTTGGTAGTTCTCTGAAACTTGTGTAAATTTTATTTATTACTAAAATCACATTGAAAACATCTTAAAGTTAAGACCCAAACCCTCTATAAGAAAAAATCTCTATGGGCATCCAGTTCCTGTGATTGAAACTGGGTAACAAAAGAGGCAAAAGACATGGTTTGTGATGAAGCCTAAAATTTGAATGCTAGAGTGTTCAAGCTTTTATAAAGTATATACCAATTCCAAGTACCAAGCATAATTATCAAAATTCAAAGGTGTACTCTTAAATAAGCATCAAAAGCAATTTTGTTCACTGAATCCTATTTTACTTTTGATTTGCACAATGCATTCAGAAATGAGTTACAATTAGGAAAAGTGTCCACTGAATGCGTCATGCTTAAAAATGCAATTAACATTCCAAAACCAACCATACTTACAAGAGAAAATACCTGAAAAGTTAACTATTTTAGTAAAATTACTTCAGGCAATATTATCCTGTAGATAAAAATACATTTGTTGTATTTTTAAATGTAGATTTCTACATGAAAGACAGGATTAAACTCTAAATAGAAAAGGACTGACCCTTGATAAAGACATCTTAGATTGACAAACCGATGCATTAAAGGAAACAGAAGGATAAAAGGTAAGTTAAAGGAAGGATAAAAGTTTAGTCACTTGCTCCTGAATAGTGGCAGAGTTGGGCGAGAGGCAGATGAAGGCATAAAGAAGACATAGAAGAAAGGCAAAGAAGGCCTCAACTCTGACCAGAAATGAACAGAGAATCAAGCAAAGTTGAGAACAGATATGATATAGCTGCAGTGAGATGCTGGACACTAGAATTTGGGTAGTTACAGAAGCTCAATTAAATCATCTAAAATGGAATTAGATAAAACATCTGAAATTTAATGGAGAACTAATATTACAGTGACCAGATAACTTGGCATGGTAGTTGTCATTTGAAAAACCTTCCCAAATAACATCAAGTCACCAGAAGACCTTTGTCTCCTGTTATATTCTTTCAAGCTTATCAAAGTCCCTGACTGATTGGGAGAGACAGCACAGTACTCCAAAAGGAAACTATGCTGAGATGTGTCAGTATCAGAAACTCCATTTGACTCTGGACAGACCCTGGATGTTAGATTCTTCAAAGTGAGGGGATTGGACCAGGTTTCTTCCAAGCAAAAACATTTTATCATTTTATTGATAATTAATTAAACTGGGATTGTTCAGACTAACCCCAACTTTGATGGGGAAGTTAAGCAAGATAAGGAAACATCACAGAAATTTCATGTAAGGACAGAGTACTCAAATCTATTTCCTAACTAATGCTGTATGCAGAAGTATCCTATAAACTAAATTTGCCTAACAGAAAAGTTACCACATCCTCAACAGACCAGAATGTTGAAGTATTTGGGATCCTTGACTAATAGGAAGTACTCACTGTCTCTTTTCAAAGACTGGGTTCTTTCTCTTTTACCAAAATCCTAAACTGAAAGACAACCAAGGTGCTAAAATGTTCACCACCAGTTGATTTAGGAATGTTTGAAGAAAATAAACTTGAAACAAAGAAGCAGATGTTTTTGGTCAAATTCCAGGCAATATATTATTAGAAATTAATTACTGGCCCCACCAGGTTAAAGAAGAAGGGAGGCCCTGAGAAGTCTATAGAGCTGATATACACACAAGTGAGTGTCACTGTTTTTTTTTAAACCTAGTTTTATTAAATATTGCTTCTTTGGGATGTTTTTATAACAACTCCCAGAACATTTCATGTGAGGATTCAAAGCGGTCATAGTAAAATACAGCTTCAATATAAAGTTTATCACAGTTTTACAGTATTCAAAATGACAGACCTGCCTTAAAAAAACAAAACAGAAACCAAAAAGGACTATTACACCCAAAACATAAGAAAACAATTAAATAAACAAGTTTGGCATTTCTGTAACTTTATAGTATAAAACAGAATATTGACTCTATGATTGGCAAGCGGACACTGATGTATTAATTACCTAGTTTGAAACGTGTCCCATTTCAACACACTATACAAGTTCACTATACAAAAGACTGATGGTCTGTTTGATGAAAGAAATGCACCCTGAAAATTTTTGCGAGTTTAGAATATTTAGCTCTTTAAGTCAAAAAGTCCTTTTCCTTTTTAAAACTGAAGGCTGAATTCAGACTTTCATTTGTCAGCCTTCCTGGTTTAAAAACAATAGTGTCTATGGACGCCCACCAGGGGGCAGTGTAAGATTAGCCATTAAATCACGAACAGCTGCAAATATTGTGCATTCACCTGCAACAGAGAAAAATGGTCATTAGCTATTCGCAATACAGGAAAGATGATGTCAACACACCGGTGGGGTAAGGGTAATTAAATCTAAAATTAGCAAGAACTATAAAGATCAAAATAAAAGAATAAATTTTAGTTGCACAGGTTACAGGAGATTAAGCTTTGGAGTTAAGTATCAGATGATTTGGTTTGGGTTTTGTTTTTTCCTCATGAGGAAATTTGGGGCAAGCCTCAGTTAAGTTTGAATTTAAGAAGATATGCCTAAAATTTCTCTAAAGAAACAATGGATTAGGAGAATTGGATAAACCTTTGAGTTGGGCTTCAAGGGTACTTACTGACAATTGGCTTATATATTTTGAATCTAATGAAAAGATGTACATAGTTTGTATTTATGCATTAGGTACACCAATGGTGTCCTTCTAATGCTGCATTAAAGGTCAGATAAAATCTCTATGATGGCACTGTCCAACACAACTTTCTGTGATGATGGAAATGCTCTATATATGCACTGTGGCTACCAAGCACTTGTAATGTAGCTAGCTAGGGTGACTGAGGAACTGAATTTTTACATTTTATTTAATTTTAATTAAATTTAAATAGCCACATAAGACCACTGGCAGTTATACTGGACAGTGCAGTTCTATGACCTCTATTGGAGTTTTCTCCCAAATTTAAAGGAAACAATTATCTTCTGGAGTTCAACATTAAAATTCAAATAATACTTCTCAAAAGTGTATTTTTCTTAAAAGCACTTCAGGGGAGGAAGTGATGGTTTTGGGAGGACGGGAGGAAGACTGAGTTATGGTACAATAACAATCCCCAAACAAGATTTGCTTGGGGGAGTGAGGAAGCTAATGATTCATCCTCTTAATTTCCCCTTTGCTGGAAAAACAAAAAACAAAAAAATACCCTGCCTCTTCCTTCCTGTAAATATTAATATATTTTAATATAATAAACCAAAACCAACTGTAAATATTATAGACCAAAAGCTGTGTCCCTTCCCCAGAGCACAGGCTGACACTACAGTGACTGAAAGCAAAAGAACTTAATTGAAAAGGGAGAATGTGCGGGGGCCCTGTACAAGTTACTACACTCTTCTCGCACTGGAAAATTAAGGTACAGAAAGAAAATGAAATCCAAAGGTTTAACTTATCTAAGGCAGAAATATAACAAAACAAAACAAAAACCCAACTTCCAAAATATACCAACAATTTCTTAAAAGAAGTTATGTCTTTCTTTTTCCATTTTAAAAACACATTTTCATTATTGACAGAAAAATGCTTGATTGCCATAGGATCAAAACATTATTTGCTTTTAATTTTAAATTCCACAGACATAATAATCATGTTTGTGAAAGAATAGTGTTTATTATCAAAGTTCTACTGAACTACTACGTTGAAAATTCTGATAGCTTTAAACTTTCATTCTTAAGGACTTATTTTTAGCTGAAAGAAGAGATAAGTCAACGGATGAAAGCAGAAAATTTTAAGAAGCGGAAGTATTACAACAAAAATAGCATACCCTTCTCTATTGCCCAGTGCATTCCTTATAAACTAAACTTGAGTGAGAACTTGCCTATGTATACAATATGGGGAAACAAACAGCTAAAAATATAATTTCTCCCATGATTCCTGTTTCTAGTAAAATTTTGACACTGGTACATAAAAATGTTTCAGAGAACAACTTTCCCTCATTTAAAAACATAATTCTGTTATCATACTATTCTAAACGGAAAGATAGCAGACTTCCGTAATATTAGAAATAAGCAAATTGGAAGAAAAGTTCTCTTTGCTGAGCTTTATGTTTTGTAACCAAGAATTTAGCACTGCCATGAGTTATGTGTTAAGCGTAGGCTACGACAGTTTGAACAGACCTTGTTTGTCTTGCCAGAAACATTCTGGTTCCCTTGAAAATGCTCAGTTTGAGAGCTTCATTGTGCACTTGGTGAAAAGGTTCACTTGCACCCGCCTGAACTTATATAAGAAGCCCAAAAAGCAGTGATGCCATTTGTATCAGCTTTTATTCTTCACAAAACATTTTGAAGATACAGAACTTTTTAATGATATTGTTCTATTCATGATTGAACCGTGAAATATGAGAAACCAACATGCATTTCAACTTGGTGATGTACAGAGTGGCAGGTATCAATGGTAGGGCAGAAATTCACAGCCATGGCAAATTCTATCATCCTAACCTAGGGCTTTGTGGCAATGTGTGCTATAAATACAAGCTTCTGGCATTAGCAACTGAGTCAGTCCCAATAGTAAGTCACTGACAAAAATAAAGTCCAGGCAGCAGAGACATGGACAAAAACAAAGAACCAGTGAGAAAGGAAGAAAGCGACAGGCAGACATTAAAGGGCCACAGCAACCAGAACTCTATTACTAGGATTGGGGGTGAGGTGGGTAAAGAGAGAGCAGCGCGGAGGAAGGGGGAATCTCTCAAAAGAACACATAGGCAATTAAACATCATCTACTGGTCATGTACCTTGTCGTGGTGGGTTCATCTCTGCAAACCTCTTCAGAATGTTGCTGACCATCATAGGAGCAGCAACAGAAGAGTTCTGCTGTCTGGGAATGTCTGCCTGCTGGGTTGTACCTGAAGCCATGTCATAAATGATTGGAACTATAATACTAACAGGTTCTTGGGGAGGGACCGATGTTTTCTGAGTTAGCTGAAGCTGTAAATACACAACACACACAGAGAGAATAAAAATGGTTAAAATAAAACATTTGAGCAAATTTATCAAAGGTACTATCATTTACTGTCAGATTAAGACACATCAAGCAAAAGAAAACTAAATGACACGTGACACACAACTGATTATGATTAACATGCAACTGTCAGATAATGCAGTTCAGCAACTTTCTACTAATACTAAAGGAACTAGGATCACACAAAGCCTAAACTGACAAGGAATCTGGATCAATATTGGCAGCAACAGATAATTTCTGCAGTTATCCAAAAGGTGCTGTATTATCCTCACATGGCTTTTTCTTCAGAAGCTCTGCACATACACATATGCTGGTTGGTACTTACAAAAAACAGTATTTTGGATTTCAGCACCACAGCAGGAGTCCCAGGAGGTGCAATTGGTGGTGCGCTGGGAGGGATCGTCAGGCAAAACTGAACATTCCATTTTAGCTGTGTTGCCTGGTCAGGAAACTGTTTTGAAAAAAAAAATCAAGATAAAATTATATGAACATTAGGAATCTGGAAAGTTATACAGAATTTTATTTTATACCAAATTATATCAGTAAACAACATAAAGTTGGTAACCGCCCTGTTTTCAAAGGAAATATATATGTAAAGTTACTAATTCAAGTCAACTATGCATTTATGTGATGTCTCCCCTTCTCTCTTCTCACTTCATTAATTCCTATGAATTCTGCATCCTCAGTGTCTCTGACATCTGTTCTATTTTCACTGATGCCATGGAGCTCAGGTTTTATTACTTCTCCCATGACCCCTTAATGGGGTCGCTTCTCCCAGTCCACCCTCACACCACTGCCAATGTTCTAGACTTGGGGTACCCAACCCCCCAGCTGTGGACAGGTACTGGTCTGTGGCCCGGGGTACTGGGCTGCACAGCAGGAGGTGAGCAGTAGCCCAGTGAGAGAAGCTTTGCTTGAAATATCATCTGAGCTCAGCCTCTTGTCTCCCCCCATTCCCACCTCACTCAACCAGTCCCTGGTGCCAAAAAGGTTGGGGACTGCTGTCCTAGAGAATGGTTCTAATCTAGCTCACGGATGTTCAGTGACATGCAATGCTACATGTTGTCCTCCACCTCCTCCAAGGATCAATACCTGGCATTCAAGGCCCTTCTTAACCGGTACCAATCGACACCCCCCAGTTTCAGTTCCAATTCCTTTCCTAAAACAAACTAGTCAGAGTATGTTAATAATTTTAAACTATATCCACTAATGCTTTTATAGCCACATAAATATTTACTCCTTTAAAAACCTGAATATCTTTCTGACATAAATAATGTTTCCTGTGGCCTATCAGAGCAGAGGCCATACTGTCCCAATATTAAAACACCAACCCCCAAAAGAAGTGAGGTATTTGGAATCACCCAAAGCAATAGTAGAAACATTAAAATGAAAGGACTACTGTGAGACTGGAATAATATAATCAGCTATCATCTGGATTCTATCTATACAATTATATAATCTCATATGAAAGAAAAGAAATTCAAAATCTCATGGAGAAGATAGATTTTTGATAAATGGCATTAGGGCAATTGGCATCTGAAAAAGTTGGATCCATACCTCACGCACATGACACCTAGACACATTTAAAATGGATCCAAAATTTAAATATGTAATTTAATTTAAAAATGACTCCGTATAGTATTAGAAGAAACCCTGGGAGAGTTATTTCATTATCTGGGAGTAGGAAGAGTATATTAAATACATTTGTTTCTATAAGAGGTAAGCCAGTGGTAACTCAGGTTGCTTGTGGGGAAGGAGACTAGATGGCTGGACAGGGATGAATGAGAAATTTCCCACTGTATTTTCTTATTCTAAATTCAAAAGATACGAGAGGATTATGTTGCCTACTCAAAACATAATATTCAAGTGAGAAATCAAGAAGAATTTAAGAGAAAAATAAAAGTACCTATACAGGTAAAAACCAGTGAACATTGTTCCCACCTACTCCAACATCCTTAAACATACCTGGCTATAAAAGTTCGTGTTTCTCTGTAACTTACCAGCTCTAGTTTCATAATATGCACACAGTCCCTGAGGATGTGTGTAGGAGCTCCTAAAAGTTTGGTGAAGGCTATTAATGTATTGGCTTTAAATGGTGGTCCAGCAACCTACAGGGACAAATAAAGCAGGTTATTTTTCATTGCACTTTGACTCTTCTGTTTCACTGATTACATTAACATTATGCATTAAAAAAAAACACATACTCTTGTTTCAAAGAATTTCTCCAAAACTTGAAGTTCATCAGGTTTCCACTGTCCTGCGTTCTCAGGTGTTACTTTTAGCTGAAGTGTTTGGTTGGTTTTGGGACTAAGAGCGACTCTGCATTTCAGCGCATCTGTCTTAAACATGATCACCCCAGGTTCATTGGAATTTATCAGCTGCAGCTGCAAAACAACGATGCATCAAATTAGCATGTAAAAGAATATGTAAGACAAAGAAAAAAATGAAATGTTACCCAGAAAACCCTTTTAAAAGAAAAACAAATCTGTTGCTACCTGTTCTGAAACAAAGTATGTAGGCGCTGAGCAACAAAACTGCTAACAACGCTGCAAAGACAGGCAATCAGACATTACATGTCTCTTGAAAAAAGAATGTATAACACTACCAATAAAATATACTTGCAAAACAATAACCAACTTGAGCCTGAATTACAGTAGTTAGACCCACAGGATCGATTCATATTATAGATCTAGAGGGGTCAAAAGAACACGTTAAATGATTCTAAAGGGATGCAACCAGCAAAATCCAGATTCTGACAAACTCTATAGGACAAATGATATTTCTTAAACAAATAAATTATGTAAGGAGGAATGGGGGAATCTATAGTTTGAGAGAGACTAAAACTTGCTTGGGTTCTGATTCAAAGTGTAAAAATGTTGATAAATTGTGAAATCTGGACACCAACCATATTTGACAATAAATTGTATTTATGGATGAAATGATATCTGGAATTTTGCTGTCAAACAATCTGGGAGGAACTACAAATGAAACAATATTGGTATCAGTTACTGTTGAAGGTGGGTGATGGGAACAAGAGAGGTTCATTATCCAATTCCACTTGTGTATATACTAAACATTTTCCCACAATAATAAGTTTTAGAAAACTGGCACATTAGGAAAAACAAACAAACAAAAAAAGGTCTGGATTGGGACCTTCTTTCTGCTAGTCCAGGGGTTGGTAAGTATTTTAGACTATATGGTCTCTGTTACAACCACTCAATGATGCCACTCTGGCTGGAAGCAGGCATAGACAACATGTATTGAGTGGGTCTAGCTGTGTTCTAATAAAACTTTATTTACAGAAAACAGCTGGTAGGCAGGACTTGCCTCCAAGCCCATAGTTTACTGACCTCTACTCTAGCCTGTATGTTGATTATGCTGATGAGAAAAATTAATTTTAAAACAAGCCAAACATGTATATGGCTTTTAAGTGGCAGAGGTGAGCCTAGATCAGATTACCATTTTAAATGCCAACTTATTTTAACCTATGTTAAAACCTTTATTTTTTTCAAATCTGAAAATAAAGCTTGCCACATAGCTTGGTGCTATCCATAAAGTGAGTATTTTCAATATTCATCATCCTGTCTACCACCTCATTAACACATATACACCTCAATAACAACAGTAATTATAAGTAACTAATATGTATTGAATACCAAGACATTATGCTACAAGCTTTATGTGAAATATCTCAAATTCCCACAACCGTTATGAGCTAGGTAGATACTATTATCTACTATTATCAGAGATGTAGAAAAATAGCCAAGCTCATCTTAGCGGGTGGCATGGTTTGCCTACAAATCCAGGCAGCTCGACTTTAGAACAGGTACTCTCAACTCTGAATTATCTCCTAAGGGTACCACCACAAGATAGGTTAAAATTCCTCTTCTACCAGGGTTTTAATCAATTCAAACTATTTGTGTATTTTAAAAAGCAGCTTTCAGCCTTGTGATCATAATTTTATTTCAGTGGGGACTGAGATTTGAAGTTAGCCTTCCTGCAAAAGCATCCTAGAGGACAAGTAGCTACTCATGTTATTCTCTACAAAGCCAGATGTCCTGGCTACACATGTCCTATGATATTGAGTGAACCTATCTCCAGGTCCATGTTAGCCACAGCATGAAAAATTATAAAATGAAGAAATATGTTAACATAAGAATGGAAAAGAAAATAGTGAAGTCCATTTGTAATGCTAGGGCTGGGTGCAAAGTGTAATGCTAACGAGCTGGTTAACGGAGGCGAGGAAGTATCACTTTAAGTTCAGATCCTCTCTGAGGGGCAACTTAGCATCTGCCTTTGACAATCACTACTTATCAGTTAGTTCACTAGGTACCCATACCGTTTCTTGTTGAATAATTCTTTGAAGATGTCTTCTCATGATGACCGATCCAAGGAATCTTTCAAGTGGAGAACAAAGGTAACTACCTGCCAGGCCAGGCACGAGGCCTGGTGTTGGAGAGGGCAGCAATAAAATGTTCAAGGCACTGTGAGTGAGGATGGTGGGTATGGAGGCTGCCCAGGAGCGCTGAGGTAGTTTACGAGGTGGGGGCATGTTTGTTGGCATCGTTTGGGAACCTTATGGGAAGGAAAACATGTCACTTCATTTATAAATACATATTATCTCATTGTTCCCTGATTTGTTTTTAGTACAAATCTTTGACATTCTACAGTAATCTGTACTGTTTTAGTTGCTCCTTGTGGTGTAACAATCACATATTAGCTTCCTTTGCAATGAGACTTTGAAACAACGCCTTCAAGAAGGAACGCAGTCAATCTATTGCTCTACCTGGATTCTGAGTTGGCTTTCTGATTTGCCGTGGCCAACAGAATGCAGTGGCAGTTATGCAGTGCCAGTTGTAAGCCTAGGCTTTCACTCACTCTCTTGGAGCTCCCTGTCCAGCCATCAGGTGAACAAGCCCAAAATTAACTACAAAATTGCATGGAGCAGAGAGAAGCCATGCGGCTGGGGTCACCTTAGATCAGCCAGGACCCAGCCAACCCAGGAGCTGACCACAGATGCATAAGTGGACCCAGTAGAGCCTGGAAGAATCACCCAGCTTGCCTCAGCCCAAAATGCCAAACTGCAGAATGGTGAGTGAACATCTAACTGCCGCTTTAAGCCACTAAAAGTCACATAGCGAAAGCTAACTAACTTAATTGTATAATTCTTCTCTTCAGTGTGAATTTGTATAAATCTGTCAAAAACTTTACATATCTTTTCAGGTCTAGTATTGCAGCTAAGGTAGTAGTCATAACACAGGTCTCAGAAAACTTCTGGAAGAGACATTTCTCTTTCTTAAATTTTGCCTAACTTTGAAAATTAACTCTTATTGTCGCCAATTTGCTAAATGGATAAAAGCTGAAATTATTAAGCTTCCCCATTCAACAAGTAGATCATGATCTTCAAATGTGAGTATAGAATAAAATAGGCTATTTGTTGGTTATACTAAAAGCAAACATAAAAATGTTGATTATGCTCACTTGTTCCAGCTCGAGGGGAATGAGAAGCATCTGGAACTGGAGAATGTAGTGATGGGTTGGCTGGTGACATTCCAGGCAACCGCGTTGCCGGGGAGGGGCCAGACACTTGAGGAGACCCTGGCCAGTTCCCTGCCCGTCCACTTGGTGACACCATAGTGTATGGAGAACTGGGGTCCAGGGTTCCTATAAACAAGTAAACAACGGGTTTTCAAAATCTGTATTTTAATCACAGAAAAGTATTTGACAGCATTTAAATGTTTATACCCTATAGAGTGATACTTTTTTTCCTTTCTGTATGATATTTCACTGAAGCATTATGTTTCTTAGCATGGCACATCTGACTATTTTGTGTAGTTTATATACTTTTTAACATGGTATAAAAATTACATAAAACAAAACTGAGAAAGGATAAAATTTACCTTCACATGACCTTCAAGATGTGTCATATCTACCAACTTACACCATGTAATAATCAACTATATGTTTGAAAATATTAAGGAAAAAAATCTCAAAGCTCTATTAAGGAAAGAAATCTTACATTTTTAAAACAACTCCCACAAATTATGTTTTCATTCTACTCAGAGGAGGCCGAAAAGATAAATATTTTCCATTTTCTTTATTTAGTGAAGGCTGCATTGAGTAAGAAATGAACCAAAGAATTGGGTTTTGAAAGCAGCGATTTTCTGAACAATTTGGTATTTAAATTTTACCCTGCAGACACTTTTACATTTATACCCCTTTGTAACTAAATGACAAACTGAAAAAAATTTTTCTATCATATTATCAGAGGGTAAATGGTACTTAGAAGTCTTATAAATTAATAAGAAAAAAACACAAGAACACAGGGAAAGGATATAAACTGGCACACGTAAGAAACACCAGAGGCTAATGAACTTCACTAATAATTGAAGCAACATACATTAAACAATAAGATACCATTTTTTACCTATCAAAATGACCAAGATATTCAAAATAATGATACCCCACGTTGGCAATGATGCAGAAAAAGACATTCTTCTATAATACTAGAGAAAATTGGGACAGGTTTTCAGGTGACCCATTTGTAATAGGTTTCAAGAGCTTTAGTATTTCTCAAACCCTTTGGGACAGCAATTCCACTCCTAGGAACTTACCTAAAGAAATAATCATGTGAGCAGAGATGACACCATTTTTAGTTGTGAAAAAATGGAAACATTCTACCATATCATAATAGGAGAGCAGTTAACTCAGGTATGCCCAGAAACTGGAATACTATGAAGTCATTTAGTATGATGATGTAGAGTTTTTACTGTCAGATATGTTTCCACAAATATTACTAATAAAGAGTAAAATAATCGCAGATACTACCCAGCTATAAATCTGAGGAAGCTCATTATGTTCTGATTTGGCGTGGTATTCATGATATATTTAAGTGAAAAAAGTTAGGAACTAACCACCATGTGCACTATGCTGTCTGCCATGGGTATGTAAAAGAAAAGGGAAAGAACACTTACATGTACTTGTTTGTTTATGCATAAAACATCTGTGCAAGAACAATAAAAAATTAATGATACTAACTAAATGTTTCTGGGAGGAGGAACCGGGCTGCTGGTGGAACAGAAAGGAAACACTTCACTGGCTACTTCTATTCTTTATCTATTTGAACGAACCTGAAATAAAATTTTTCAGTTAAGGAGTAGAAAAATCCAGGTCTCAAAATAACACATAAGGCAGGGTCCCAAATTTTTTTGTTGGGGGGGGTGGGGGATGTTTGAGGCAGAAGACAAGAAGATGGGCAGAGAGCAAGCAAAAGCAAAAGATTTGAGCAGATTGGCAAGCAGGGGATGTGTGACAGGAAGAGTGAGGGAGAGGGAAAAGGAGAGAAAGTCCAAAGCAGACAAAACTGGTAGGTCTCTGTATGGTGTGATTAGGAAATATTTATTTTGCTATTTCCCCAATAGACAAGTGCTAAGTTTGCAGTAAGAAAATAATTTACTTAACAAAAACTACTTTCACGTCAAACTCTTATGCTACGGCAACTTCCATGTACGGACTCACCATGTGGACTAGCAAAACTGGCCCCTGGTCCTATTGAGAGTCCATGCGAGGATGGGGGAGGAGTTGGAACAAATGACGCTGGTGATGGGGCTCTCAAAGCCCCACTGGGGGAACTTGCGGCATGCAGATTTCCTAATAAATGAAAATAATTATAGATGATCTTGCAGGACACATATCATGTCCTGTTCAAGGACCCCAAGTTAAGACCCTACAAACTAAAGAAACAAGTAGTAAAGCTCCCATAAGCAGCACAAAGGAAAACTAGAATAATTTTATTACTGAAAAAGAAAGATCAATTCCACGGGGCCCAAATTCTAGGTCTTATATTGGCTAATTTAAAAAAAAATATCCAGTGTACTTTTTATTTACTCATTCATTCGTTTAATGACTAGGCATGAGAGTACACTTCACGCCCAGTATTGTGTGTGGTAGGCACTGGGGATGTAGCAGATAATGAGACAAAAATTCCTGTCCTCGTGGAACTTATATTCTAGTGGAATGAGAAAGACTTACAAATATATGTCAGGTAATAATGAGTGCTATTATGGAGAAAAACAGGGCAAGGTAAGAGGGCAATATTGTGCGGTGCTTGAGGTGGGTGCTGTTCTTTATATAAGGCAATTAGAGAAGACTTTGTGAGCTGAGGAATGAAGAAAGTGAAGGAAAAGGCACGAGGATATCCAGGGGATAAGATATTCCAGGCAAACAGTGGAACTAGGGGAAAGGCCCCAAAAGTAGCAGCAGTTATAAATAACATGGATGAGGCCAGTGCCGCTAGAACAGTGTGAGAGAGGGGGAAGTGGGAAGACAGGAAGTCAAAAAAGCAGGGGGTGGTCCTAATCACATGGGGACTTACAGGCTACTCAAAGGACTTAGTTCGCCCTGAATGAAATGGGAGGCCAGGAAGAGTTTGCAGCAGAGGAGTCATGAACTAATTTCTGTTCTAGAAGGATCACTCTAGCTGCTGTGTGAAGAACAGACTATAGGGCAGAGACAGGGACAGGGACAGGGACAGGGACAAGGAAACCAGTTAGAGGTTAAATACAATCATCCAGGTGAGAGATGGTTAGTGACTTGGGCAAGGGCACAGGCTGAGATGGTGAAAGTAGTTAGACTGTAGATAAATTCTAAAGGTACAGGTGGTAGTATTTGGTAACTGACTGAATGTGGATATGAGAGTCCAACATGACTCTAACAGTTTTGGCTCAAGTAGCAGGAAGGAAGGGAATGCCATTTACTGAGATGGGGTGCTTGTGGGAGGAGCAATTTGGGGCGGGTGATACTGCTGGGTTGGTTAGGAATTTAGTTTCAGCCATGGTGAGTTTCAGATGTCAACTAGACAGCTAAATGGAAATGTTGAATAGGTAGCTGGAAAATACAGGACTGGAGTTTAGGGGAGAGACCTAGATAGGAGATTTTAAAAAACGAAACAAAACAACAACCGGGAGACATAAGCTTAAATAAAGAGAGTATTTAGCCACAGGAGTAGTTTTAACTTAGAATTATGAGGGGAACTATGACTACCAAAACTATGAATAAATTCAACATTAAAATACTTGCTACATTACCATAACTATCCTCAATATCAAGTTTCAAATTCTCTATCTCTCTGTAAAACAATTTCACATTTTCATGTTCTATAATATCTAATGCAATGCCTTACATTCAATATAATATGCTGATCAATTTGATTAACTTTTAAGTGTAATTTTGATTATTTAGCTGTGTGACATGGACAAGTAACAACTTCTCCAGACCTCAGTTGCCCTCTATAAAATAGGAATAACAGGTTTCTGCCACAGGTTTGCTGTGGGGATTAAACAGCTAAAGTACTTTAAGTATTATATATGCCTATTACTATCGTTATTTCAAAATAATTATTTCTCTTACCCTCTATGTAAAGCACTCTCAGCTCTATCCTAGAAAAACTCTATCTTCCTTGCGTTCTATGCCTCTGTGTCTCCTGTTTTCCTCCTTGCTCCCTGGCTGCTCCTTCTCAAGCTCCTACATTGCTGACTGCCAACGCTCCTCGGGAACTGAGCTCACCCACCCACTTGGGCTTCAACGACCTTCGATGACATGAAAACAACTTCCAAGTCTTCTTCTGTGGTCCAGCCCATCTCTGATGAGCAGGTAGAAGATCACCTACCCAAGAAATCTGACACTTGCCTTCCTTGCTAGATAAGCTCGAGAGCAGGGCTGGTATCTGGCTCATGGATGAATCCTCAGCACCACACAGCATTTGGCACAGAGCAAGTGCTTGGGCAGAGCAAGTGCTTTAACTGAACAACGAATCGTTCAGTTAAAAGTAAATTTTGGCATCCTCAAGTAATTTTACAGTGAGCTTCATGGGGTTGTCAACAGAGTCATTTTGTTTGGACATACAGGTTGTGCACTGCCCAACTCAAAGGGGCAGGCACCGTTCACGTATTAACAGGGCCGGGCAAACTTTCTGTAAGGGGTCGGTCATCATGGTGGGAAAGCAGTCATACACACTACACAAATGGGTGTGGTGTGTTCCAATAAAACTATTTACAAAACCAGGTGGTGGGCAGGACTAGTCCCACAGGCTCCTGTTGTCGACTTCTGACAGGGATCATGTAATTAGCACTTCCTGGAGTTGGGCCATGAGTCTAGCTCTGGGTGACAACACCTCCATTTGATTTAAACCTTTTAAACTGCTCTGGAATCATGAACACAGATTTCATAATGCTGCCATAATGAATGACTGGCAAATATCTAGCCACAGACTAGAAAGGGAGTTCTCTCTGAAGTCGAGACTACATGTGCAGTACTTCTACATGTGTGTATTTCAGATTTAAAGGTGAACACGACGAGACAATAATATCTTACCTGGGGACTGTGTGTGCATCATAGATGGAGATTGGCTAACTGTGCTATGATAGGATGTAGGAGGTGAAGTAAGAGGATAAGCACCTGATGATCCTGGCTGCTTTGGAAATGGCTGAAAGAAGAAATTTAAATGTAAAATGGCCAACTGCATAGAGTATGAGTGCGATGGCTTTCCCCAATAGATAGCTCCAGTGTTGACATTTACACATTTCATGAAAATGTACAAAATACACACTAATGACACAGGCTTTTAAAAACTCCCTGATTTTCAAATGTTTTAACAATAGCAACATCCTCATTCCTGACCTTGCAATACCATTGCTTGTATTTCTCAAGATGTTTCTTGCTCATTTTATCTGTCCTAGTTTAACTGGCAGTGTTATTTCTGGCTGTATATAAAAAATAGTGCACCTTTCACTTGGTGGAGTTTTGGAGTCAATAAAATATGGTAGTTCAAGCTAACCTCTACTTACCTTTACCTTCAACTGCGGTAATGAAAACCCTAGGAAAATGTAATCCTTTCTACACTTTTTTTAAAAAAATTGAGGTATGAATCACATATAGTGTACAAATCTTAAATGTATAGTCGCATAAATTTTTACAAATGTAATTGCCACATAGATCAAGATACTGAAGAACATTACCAGAACCCCAGAGGTGTCCCTTGTACACCTTGCCTTTACCACCTCCCTAAAGGTAAGACTCCTCTGACTTCCATCACTCAAGTTTGGTTTTTGCCTGGTTTTGCACTTCATAAAAATACTCGAAGTACTCATTACATACATGGCTTCTTTTGTTCAACTTTATGTCAGCGAAATTCATCATCCTGTTGCATGTAGTGATAGTTTGCTTTCTCATTTCTGTAAAGTATTCCACTGTGTAAACATACCACAATTTATTTACTCATTCTACCGTTGCTGGGTATTTGGGGTGTTTACAATTATTTGAATATATACTTTTGCTATGAACATTCTTGTGTTAATGCATTTCTGTCATTTATACACGTAAGAGTAGAATCATTAAATCACAGGTATGCATAATGTTCAGCTCTAGCCCTCTGGAATACGGCTAAACCTCACGGCAAGGTAGGTGTACCACTTCACAAATCCTTGAGCAATAAATGAGAGATTCAGTTGCTCCTAACAGCAAAAGTTAATAAGGATTATCAATTGTTTTCTTAAAGCCACATTTGTGGCTATGGAGTTTTATCTCATTGTGGTTTTAATTTGTATTTCTGTGACCCTGAATGATACTGAACACCTTTTCTGTACTTATTAGTTATCTGTACATCCTCTTTTGTGATTACATGGGTGATCACCTGAAGTCATTTAAAGCACATGAGTCTGAGGTTAAAGGTATTTCTGGTATGGTTGATGCCATTTCTGGCACTATTTACTTCCCACCACTGGAAGCCTTGTCCTCATCACCCTCTATTACTATTTTTTCATGAGCATCTTGGGCCCACCAAGGACCCTTTGCCTTTTAAGAAAGAAGCCCAGACATCTGTAGAACCTGTTAAGTTAAACAAACGTGATGCTGCTTGGAATTTCAGCTATATCAATACCTGTTGCTGGGGTGGTGGCTGCAGTTGTGAGATTAGAGAATCCATCATATCTCCTCCTATGGGAGAAGGGGGATTATCATCCTCATTTACAGACCTTCTTCGAGCATCCTGATTGCTGTCAACAAACATATTCAGGAATGTCTAGGGATATAAACAGGCAAAATTTAGATGATTTTACCTAACTTTAAAATGGTACTTTTAATTGTTTATAATATTTTAACAGAAATAAACATATGTCTATCTCTGAAATGTAAGTTTAACACATGATTACCATTACTAGGACAACCTAAAAGAAATATTGAGGGCAGGGTGGAGGGGAATGAAGGGTGGAATAGAACAACTGTAACAGCATAATCAATTTAAAAAAATAAATTAAAAAAAAAAAGAAATATTGATCATTTTGAGGGGGGATACTGAGGAAAACTGTTAACCATAAAAACAAAATCAACACATCTAAGTTAAAAAAAATTGTATCAACTAAGAAGTATTATGCAAGCAAAAAGCTGAATAAGGAATTACACCCTGGCACTTCTTAACAATAGGTCAAAACATTTTCTTATTAGCCCTGGCTGGTGTAGCTCAGTGGACTGAGCGCGGGCCTGGGAACCAAGCAACCATGGTTGGATTCCCAGTCAGGGCACATGCCTGGGTTGCAGGCCAGTTCCCAGCAGGGGACACACGGGAGGCAACCATACATTGATATTTCTCTCCCTCTCTCCTTCCCTTCCCCTCTAAAGATAAATAAAAATATTTTTTAAAAAAAACGCATTTTCTTATTGACTTCTGAACCAAAAATGGGGGGAAAAAATCAAAAGTTGTATGTTAGGAAATTTCCTTTTTAGTGAGAATTCTCACATTTTAAGCTAGAATTAAACCATCTGTTCCCCTTTTTAATCTAATATGACTAAATCTTGAACCATCAGGAATGAGACAGTCTGTTTTATAAGATATGTCATCAAAACTAACCAAGGCTACCAGAATTTGTGTCAAATTTTTCATTAAAATTTTTTTTCTTTAAAGATTTTATTTATTTACTTTTAGACAGGGAAAGGGAAGGAGGAAGAGGAGAGAAACATCAATGTGCAAGAGATACATCGGTACACTGATTGGTTGCCTTTTGCAAACCTCTGACTGGGGACCTGGCCCACAACAACCCAGGCATCTGCCTGACTGGGAATCAAACTGGCAACCTTTCCGTTCACAGGCCCATGCTCAATCCACTGAGCCACACCAGCCAGGGGCAGATTTTCTTTCTTTTAATACTCTTTATCTCCTCAGTCTTCAAAAATATAGATTGTAAGTTTATCAGAATCATGTGAAAGCTTTTAAAAGTACATGGTCTGATTTCTAATTAAATATGATGAATTCACAACACACATTTCATCTCCCAATACTCCACCTGAAGCACGTATGAAAATATTTTTAAAGCAATAAGTGACAAAGAAAAAAAGAATGGGAAAAGAAAAAACAGCAATAAATTCTGGAGGCAGCAGAGCAGATGGTTGAATGGTATATGAACTACCCAATGTGAGGAAGTTGTATTCTAAGTAAGCAGCAGGGAAAGCCAAGAAGCAAAGCTATTTCCAGCTAGATCCCCAAAACACTTAGGAACTGGCAGCACCAGATACTGCTGGAAATAGAAATGAAGGTAAAACAAAAAAACCAAAGGACTGGATGAAAGTCTCTTTAAGAGACACTAAAACCAAGAGATATACAAATGGCCAAAAAAGCACATGAAAAGATGATCAACATCATTAATTATCAGGGAAATGCAAATTAAAACCACAATGAGATAATTACCTCACACCTATCAGAATGGTTATTATCAAAAAATACAAGAAATAACAAGAGTTGGTGAGGATGTAGAGAAAGGGGAACCGGCATGCACTTTTTTGGGGAATGTAAACTGGTACAGCCACCTGGGAAAATAGTACAGATGTGCCTCAAAAAAATAAAAAATACAACTACCATATGACCCAGCAACTACCATTTCTGGGTATTTATCCAAAGAAAACAGTAGGGGGTGTGCGAGAAGCAACCACACATTGATGGTTTTTTCTCCCTTTCTCCTCTCTAAAAATAAATAAATAAAAATCTTTAAAAGAAACCAAAACCCTCCTAGAGCCCCTGTCACTTTCCACTGAGTTAGGTTGACCTCTAGAATAACTGAGAGAAAGTGTACCATATTAAAAAGGGAGATTAAAGTTTACATACTGACTGCTGAAAACACCAGTTTCATTCTCTTATTTGACTTGCCAAAAATTGGATGCCAGACGCACACCATCTATGCAGAGACTTGGAAACTCTTCTCTTGGTGCTCAAACCAGCCCAACCAAAACATCTGACACTGGAGTCACTCAGAGAAATGGCACAAGGAGAACACCCTGTAGTGAAGACCACAGCCAACCAGTCTCACTTTAAATAAGAGCATGGTTAAGAATCACTTAATATTTGAAGAAAGATGCTAATATGAAAGGATCAATACAAAAAAAAGCAAGATGGATGAAATGGAGGTTTTGTAGGAACTAAAGAGGTAAGAGAAGATAAGTTAACCACATGCAACAGGATGTCATGAAATGACTTCTTAGAAACAAGAAAAAACTCTTGGAAATTTTTTAAAAGACAGCAAAAAAGTAACTTGGCAGAAGTGAAAAATAGAAGGAAAAAGGAAGGAAATTTCTCAGAAACAAAGAAATTAGAAAAAAAGAAAAGATAAGAAGATTAAAGGATGAGTTAAGTATGTCCAACACCAGAATAGTAGGGATATCAGAAAGAGCTGAGAAAACAAATTAGAATCAAGAAATAATACAAAGAATTTCTTCAGAACAAAAGGATGTAAGTTTCCAGACTGTAAGAGCCCACTTAGTCCCAGGAAGTTCAAGAATTTGGACAGGATTAAACTTCTTCTAGAATTCTATACCTAGCCACCCTCTCAATTAGATAAGGGTAAACTAAAGACACTTTTCATTCACAGTCTCAAATTAATCTCTCATGTACTTTCTCCCAGAAACTACTTCGAAGCATTTGACCATAAACAATTGAGTAAACCAAGAAAAAGACATGGGGTCCAAGCCACAGGGCACAGAACACAAGAGAGAAGTGAAGAAACCTCTCCCTTTGTTATCCTTCTGTAGATTCCCAAGTCAAAATTTTGCAAAAGGTCCAGAGCACTACCATTCCAGCTTAGAGGTCAGAGGACCATGGAAGACATTTCTTCAAGATGTAACTGGTAAGATATCTGACAGGGTAAAGTACTGAAGAAAGCTTGGAAGAAGAGTGTTTACGTATCCACAATAATGTGAACAATGAAATATCACTCAATCAAAATTGCTATCTAACCATATTATAAGGATAGGAGGAAAGGAAGAAGGTATTTGTGTACTGGGAATAGCAACCTACAATGTGGAAGAGGCATATAAAAACTATTAAATCCTCATCTTTCATTGTAAGAACCAGATAATGCCTCAACAAATTGCAATGTAAGCATCTATTTAGAGATAAGATATAAAGACTAAGAGAAACCGCTACATAAGAGTTGAAAAGACAGCAGGAAGAGGGCAAGAGGAGGCTGCAGGGGACTAATTTTCTAAATAAGCCATTTGGAACTGTTTGACTCCAAAATCTCCAGGGATTGGGGCCCAGGATCCCACATTTAAAAAAGCATCACACTTCTACTGATGAATCAAACCTACTCAATAATCAACGATAAAGACTACTTTTAAAGTTGTTCATAGTTGCAAATAGTGAATAGGACTCTTCAGTATCTTCTACCTTGCTCATCACAGAGAAATAAAATAAAGACATTTTATCATAAACAAACATGTGTTTGTGCTTATGTTTATAAACATAACACACATAAACATATGCACAACACTTTATTAGAACTTCTAGCACCTTCGGAATAAACTGGCAAAGATAATGTGTTAACGTGGCTACTTACTAAATTTAAACTCAAATTTGTTGCTTTTCTCCATGATTTCCCCCTTGCAGGAATGTCTGAGATCATATTTATGTTTATTCATGCTGTAACACTAAAGTCTGTTACCTTTAGTCCTGGTGCAGGATAAAATCCTTCAACTAACTTGCTATTATCAAAAAGACTATAGGCACCATCCCGTATCGCCACAACACCTCGACTCCGGCAGTATATATCAATGCAATACATGTTTCTAAAGGCCAGTCTGATGTGAGTGGATGACTGTGGCAAAATGGAGAAGCACTGGTAGGCAGTGTTGGTTCTCTGGGTCAAGCCCAACATCGGCACAGTGGGGAGTTTGTTGATGGCATTTAATGGAGCCTGAGTATCAAACAGTACCTAAAGTGAAAAACAAACAAAGTGAGAGCAGCTGGTTTCTGTACAGTGCTAAAAGCTCAGAATTTTCAATGTGTAACTTTCACAAATAAGACAATGTCCTTCCAACACATGCCATAAAACCTTCCCTGGAAGAGAATGCAAACCAGACCACTGTATTCACTTTGAATAAAAATTTCCCAAGAGCCCTGGCTGGTGTAGCTCAGTGGATTGAGCGCAGGCCTGCGAACCAGACAATCGCGGTTCGATTCCCAGTCAGGGCACATGCCAGGGTTGCAGGCTGGTTCCCTGCAGGCCAGTTCCCAGCAGGGGATGCACGAAAGGCAACCGTACATTGATGTTTCTCTCCCTCTCTCCATCCCTTCCCCTCTAAAGATAAATAAATAAAATCTTAAAAAAAAATTCCCCGAGAAAAGTGAAAAACATAAAAATGACAAAGACACCCACCCTCATCACTAACACTGACTTAATCTTATTTTTAAAGAGAAAATAAACGTAATTACCTGTAATAACTGAACCACATTTGGTGTTTTGTTGAACATTTCTTGAAGCTGATGGAGAATGGTATTGTGACAGTTACTGCAACCTGAGTTTGGACCAACAGTTCCCAAAGAAATGTGAAATTTCTGATGTATGGAATTCCATTGGATACTAATCTAAATCAAAGAGAATACATGTTTCAGAAACTGAGAAAGTAACAGATTCAAGTATCAGAATAGATCTGAATTAGACCTTTTATGAAAGCAATGCATAAGACTGGACACTTTAAATTTCAGATGTGCCGTTACTATGGACCAGTACCCTCATTGGGCATGTGTGTTAGATAGCCATAAATAAAACAGATAGCTCTAAATAAAGCAGAAAGTCCTAAAAAAATATTTTGACGAAACTTTATTTTAAAATTATCACTGGTGTTCCTAATTTTCACTTTTCTTTTGAACTGACGAAGAGTCACCCTTTAGGTGCACACCGTCCTAAAGGGAAAAGAAGCCACACCCAACACAGATGTTTTTGTTAACAGATTTTTAAACACTCAGGTAATTTCTGATATTACCTGATGTGGAAAGGTTAGAAAGAAGCCAGCTGGCTAAATTTCATACTAAAGTTCTAGAGCTTTAACATATGAGGTAGGAAAAAGACAAAAGGAAGCTATAAATTAGAGGAAATACTTTCAAAAGTAAGATAGGTTCAAACAATGTGAATGATCATGTGAGCAAAAGCACTGACGTATCATTTTGTTCAAAACCACTGAGGCATATACTTCATTATAGTAATCACATTGCTATGCAGATTTGAAATCAGTTAAGAACAAACTACAAATACCAAAAGTACATTACCTTGTCTAAAACTCAAGATTATATACCTATCAAAGGCAGTATTAATTTTTGTTTTCAATTTTAAAGAGTAAAATATTATAGTACACTATGTTTATGCCAACAAGTATTTAAAATTTACCATTTTATCTCCAATTTTTACTTGAGCCCTCAATTATCTCAAGGTAGTTTTTATAATTTTTGAATTCTTGATTTTTACAAGATTTATGGGAGGAACTTCAGTTTTAATTAATTCATATACTTACTGAGCTTCCCTTAGTAGTTCCATAACACAAGATAAGTTTTCGGTAATTATAAACACGAACTTCTGAGAAAATATTTAGATGAGCAGGTATGTCTAAATAGAAAGGAAACAAAAAGGAGAGTAAGTGTATACATGCAAAATTAAAATATTTTTTTTTGAAAAAGAGAGTATTTTGGCAATATATTCATAGATCAATGTCTCCAAATATGCTATTAACAAAAAAAAAGTAAGAAAGAAAGAAAGCAACAGCCTAAACACACTGTAGGCTTCCATTTCCATTTCTTTTTTTTTTTTAAGATTTTTTAATTTACTTATCTTTAGAGGGGAAGGGAAGGAGAGAGGGAGAGAAATATCAATGTATGGTTGCCTCTCACGCATCCCCTGCTGGGAACTGGCCTGCAACTCAGGCATGTGCCCTGACTAGGAATCAAACTGCAATCCTTTGGTTCGCAGGCCTGCGCTCAATCCACTGAGCTACACCAGCCAGGGCCATTTGCATTTCTAATAAAGGGGGAGTGGGCAAGGCTGGACATATATTGAATCAATGTAGCATAGTGGTTAGAGGTTTCAATTCCAGCTCTGCCATTTACTAGCTATTATGTGACCTTCAACAAGTTTTTTAACTTTGTGACTTGTTTTCTTCATTTTTAAAATGAATAATAATTTACCCACCTTACAGAGTGATCGTGAGGAGTAAACAAATTAACAAATGCAAACTGTTTATTTCATTGTATGGTACATAGTAATCTTTCTGTGAGGTACTACCTATTATATATATGGTATGCCTCTGTGTAAAAATTTCTGGATGCATAAGAAACTTAACAGTACTTGTCTCTGAGGGAAGGAAACTGAACTCTAAGTAGAAAGGGAATGTTATTTTTCAATAGATATACTTTTGAATTTTTTTTACAATGTGCATATTTTACTTCTTCAGTTAAAAGGGGGGGATGCTTTTTTCCCCCCCAAAAGGAAGATTATCTCATGTACCTGGTAGAGAACGTGCAAATTCCAACACACACTCATATAATCGTGCAATGCTATTCCAGTCATTAAGGAACATTTCAACCACTTTTCTACCACCAACAGGTTCGGACAACAGGTTTTCATATGTTAGATAAACATGCCGGGATGGTCCTACCGGATTAAAAAAGAGATTAACTGCAATCAGTATGAAAATAAATTCAGAAATATGCAAAGACAAAGTGTGTGAAGCATCTTACCTTGTTCCCTGGTAGAAGTGCCATTAAGTGGACAATTTGCAAACACTAACTCTGCTACCCATGTGCGGTTATTTCTACCTTGTAATCGGAAAGTGCAATCGAGGAGAGAGCGATCCAGAGCCTTCTGGGTTTCCTCATTTACACCCTTGCAGGGAGGAATTCTGGTGATAAATGAGAGCATATGAAGTATACCTCACATCACAGAAAGACAAAAGCACAATCTCCACAGTGACAGAAAGATTATCTACATTAGAGCTCCAGTTCAAACGCCCCTACCAGGCACTTTCTGTAAAAGAAGGAAGCAATTTACAGCAATTCACGGCAACTAATAGTTGTTTAACCCACTTCCATTCATTTCAACATAGGTGAGGACTCTTCACTTTAACAAAGTGATGCTTGTTTTCATCCTTAATCTTGTTATTAGAAAAATAGTACAATTCTTCAGAATGACAATCAAGGATACTGGCTTTCTACAAAATCTATTTAGAAAAACTAAGGGGGACAAAATACTTGTAAAATCACTCTTTGAAGGCAGAATGATGATACAGTGGAAAGAACAAGAATGTTGGAGTCAGGTACCTGCCTTTTTTTTTTTTTTAAAGATTTTAGTTATTTTTAGAGAGGGAAGGAAGAGAGAAAGAGGGAGAGAAACATCAATGTGTAAGAGAAACCTATCAGTTGTCTCTCACATGCCCCCAACCCAGGGACCTGGCCTGCAACCCAAGCATGTGCCCTGACCAGAAATCAGACCAGCGACCTCTTGGTTTGTGGAATGACACCCAACCATCTGAGCCACACCAGCCAGGGCAGGGACCTGCATTTTATTTTGGACTCAGCCACATTTAAACCCTCTAAATTTCAGTTTCCCAACTACAAAACGGAGATAAAAATTATAGCATGTGTCAATGACTTTAAAATATGCCAAAAGAATATATAAAATGCTTATGGTGGCTGAGATAGCAGGTATCCATATATTTAATTCCCCCTTGCAGTAAACCAAGTCTTGATCACACACTGGCAATGATAATTTCCAGGTTTATCCCCCTTCTGCTTTCTGCTGGAGAGGTAACAAATTGTGATGAGCTTCACATGTGTTAATTCATTTAGCATACATATTATCACATATAATTAGTTTTGGTGTCTTAAAATACCTACCTATTTTCCTCTTGCAGATTTTTGACTATCTTATTTGTCAGAAAACATTAAGAATACAGCTTAGCTGCTTTTTCAGTAATGGATGAAATAATGACATAACATTATTTAACTATACGTTATCCTTTAACTCACAGGGAAGGTGGATTAATTCTCAGACTTGATATGATTGTCAATATCTAAGGCAAAAACAACTAAAATAATTGGAAATATGGAATATCGATTCACACCTCTTATTCAGTATGTAACACCTAGAACAATATTAACATTTTGGGGTGGATAACTCTGTTGTAAAGAGCTGTCCAGTGCAGCCCTGGTCTCTACCTACCAGGTGCCGGGAGCACCCCCACCCCCTTTACTCAGTTAACGATTACCAAAAACGTCTCCAAACATTGCCAAATGTCCCCTAGAGGGCAAAACTACCCTGTGGATGAGAACCACTGACCTAGTATAAACAACTTAAGAGAGCAAACAAGACACACAGTTTGCACAAGGTAAAAGGAAAAAAAAACTTGGTTGGGAGAAACAAATCTATACAGTTTGCATAAAAATAGTTAACATAGTACTGAAATTTTCTCAATTAAAAATTCATCAGCACTCCTCTTAAATAAATGTGCAGGTTTTAAGTTTTTCAAAAGTTAATCTTTCATATTACATACCTTTTATCACTACCATACAAATTTTATCCAATGTTTTATTTGGAGTATTATTATAGGAATCGCATACGCTTTTCAGCATTATAGGTGTACCTGAGGACTTGCCTGTCCTTACCCTTCAAAGCCTAACCATAACCCATAAGAGATATAAAGCAAACAATTCAGATAGATTTTTAAATCTTGATTTTGAAAATATAAATGTAGTATATTATCCTCCTTTCATATAAAACAGGTGTTTCATGACATCTGAATGGTTAGAAAATGAACACACTGAAGCCAGGACATGTTCAAGGAAGACTCCTTCCAATTTATGCTCTCAGGCATCACACAACCCTGAAAAAACATTCCATGTCACCTTCTCAATCGGTGACACAAATATAATTGGCTCTACTTCAAGAAACTTGTAAAATATTTACTTGCTTTTATGGTTATAAATGTAACAGAGAAAATAAAAGTAAACTACAGGTTCTAATCTTCCACACATGATCATGCAAGGGAAAGAAAAAGATAAAACTGAACAGGTTCTCCAAAAGAAAACCCACAACTGTTACAAACTCAAAATACTATTGGGTTGGTCAAAAAGTCCATTTAGTTTTTTCTGTAAAAAGACACATATTTCATTTTCACCAATAACTGTACTAGTTTAATTTGGATATTTTGAGTACAAGGTCTGTCTGGAAAATGTCTGGCCACTGTTAATATAACAAGACTGGTTTACACAACATCCATGCAATCTGGCAGCCAAGGAGAGTGGACTGGAATGTGCATGCATGAACAATGATGATTTGTGTGAAGCCTGAACATTATTCTGAGGGAATTATTCAGATGATTCAGAAGGGTAGAGCTATGGGCAACTGGTGATTGGCAGCTTCATCACAACAACATGCCTGTTCATGCATCACATCCAGTACAGAGGTTTTTGGTGAAACATCAAACCACCCGGTGACTCACCCCTCCCTACAGCCCAGATTTAGCATCCTGTGACTTCTGGCTTTTCCCAAAAGTAAAACTGCCTTTGAAAGGGAAGAGATTTCAGACAGTTGATGAGATTCATGCTGGGGCAGCTAATGGCAATTGGGAGAACTGTGTGAGGTCCCAAGGTGCCTATTTTGAAGAAGACTGAGGCACCATTGGCCTATATATCTTGTACCTGTGTCTTCTTCAAGAAATGTCTTTATTTTTCATAATACATGGCCGGATACTTTCTGGACAGAACTTGTATGTTTGCTCTTTCCCACTATTGCCTTCTAGTGGGTAGAGGCCAGGGGTGCTGTTAAACATCTTCCAATGCATAAGACAGCTCCACAGCAAAGAATTATTTGTCCAAGATGTCGATAGCACCAAAAAACCTCACAAGCCACTTTAGACACATTTGATCAGTCACAGCACCTTCTCCATATACTGCACAAATCTTTTTTTTGTTTCAATTGCATTTTTACCTTTCTTGAAATAATAAAGCATAATATGCCAAAAATGTTGCATGTTTTCTTTCATCTTCAATATTACAATGGCTGTACCAAAATTCACCAATTGTGGTAAGGTTTTTTAAAAAATGTACACTGATAGGACAGCTGTCACAATACAATCTAACAAAATCATTCAGAATTAAGTTAAAGACAACTACAGTAAAAGCTAATTGAACTTTTGGCCAACCCAGTACTATATTTTCCAGGACAATAAATTAAACTTAACTGAAAATTTTCACCAACTCAGAAAAGTTTTTTGATCTAAACGGCTACTCCTGACTGATTTTTCTCCTATAACTCTGAGTACTGAACAAATTTAGGAACTAGGCAGATATATATGTCAGATATATATGTCAGTGCTGCTCCTTTTTGGCCATTATGTGCTGTGTGTCAGTTTCATTCTGAGGGGTTTTACAAATATCAGTAACGACATCTTGACCCTGTAGTGCAAAAGCGATGTGATCACTGAAAGTGCTAGTAAAAGAAGCACAATTATGCCAGTAAGAAAAGGGAAGAGGGTTTTATGAAGTTTGCACTTGCATGTGCAGAAGGGACTGAGTCACATAACTTACAAAAAAGAGATGGGCCTATGTATTACTTGCATCAGTTGTAAGAGGCAAGAAAACACAATGGAGAAAATGGGAAAAAAAACAAAAAACAAAAAACAAAAAAACCTCGTGGACGTGGCTGGAAGACCAGCACCACTGCCCATTATTATAATGTTAGTTCTGGGGAAGGTGGGAGCTTTACTCAAGAGCTCAAAACTGGGCATCATAAGCAGGCCATTCTTGAGACCTATGTCATTTTGTGCTGTAGACTCAAGGCTCTTCTGAGTCTGCACAAGGCAATAGGTCCATGAACCATAGCGATCTAAGGTGTTTGCCATGATACTTTCAGAGGCACATCAACGAGGCCAGTTCAATGGATTTTCAAGGAGATAAGGTGAACAAAAACAGAACATATTTTTTTAGCAAAGAGGAGAAAAATGTGCTACTTTTAAAGCTTTGAAGTATCACCTTATACTCCCATTTAATATAAACATATCTAGGACTAAAATCTTTGTAAAGGAAGAGTTTTTGAAGATTAAGTGCATTAGAGGAACTACTAATTATTAATAAATCAATGCAGGGTTATAATTTAGTAAATCATGTTTAGACATTTACTGCTTACTTTTTCTTTCTTCTTACATATCCTACACACATAATGGACAGCATGTACTGGTTAATTTATTTCTATATACTTTCCTTTTATGTTTTAAATATAAAAAATATAATCTAGGATGTAAGACTTTTAAAAAAACTATTGTAAAATGAAGCAAAAAAATAGTAAGTGCTGGCCCTGACTGGTCTAGCTCAGTGGATTGAGTGTGGGTGGTCTGATTCCCAGTCAGGGCACATGCCTGGGTTGCAGGCCAGTTCCCAGCAGGGGACACATAAGAGGCAACCATACATTGATATTTCTCTCCCTCTCTCCTTCCCTTCCCTCTAAAGATAATAAATAAAATATTTTTTTAATTTTTAAGTGCTTCCTCCTTAGATCTTAGGAGTATTATGAGTCCTCTTGAGTTCAAGAAGAAAAGGGACTTAAGTGCCTTTCATAAACAAAGCTAAGCATAAGGTACTGTAAAACTCTTAAAAATATGAAAAATAAAAATCAAAACACGTTCTTGGATGAAGATTAAAAAATATGAAAAACATAAGTAATTAATAGAGCACAAATGTTAGCATCATCTACTTATTTGAAGTTGCCAAGAAGAGTGAAAAAACAAAAACCCAAAATGCTGTATTTTAAGAAGAAGTAATTCAAAACCAAAGGCTAAATACCATATGATCTCACCTTTAACAGGAAGCTAAACAACAAAACAAACAAGCAAGCAGAAAAAAAAAACAAAGACACTGAAATAGAGACCAAGGGGATAGTGACCAGAGGGGAGAAGGAAGGGAAGTTAAGGGGAAAAAGGGGGAGGGATTTGGAGGAACAAATAGGAAGGACACAGGGACGAGAACTAAGGGGGGGTGGAAATGGGAGGGAGGGGGGGTGGAAATGGGAGGGAGGGGGGGAGCAAGGGGCGGGGGAGGCTGGGATGGGAAAAATAGACAAAAAACTGTACTTGAAAAATAACTAAATAAAATTAATTAAAAAAAAACCCCAAAGGCAATTGAGTTAAAAGTGCTACATTTCCCTATATTCCCATGGTAAGACTAGTTCTCCCAATCCTGAAAAGAATATTTCATAGAGATGGCATTAAGATAGCCAGGAAGGGAAGCTATTTCAGTTCTTCAACCCTTTATCTAGTGTGAGCACCATGACACATGGGTAGAGTATATGCCATTTGCTAACACTTCGCATCTTCCACAGAAACAAACTGATTCTCAAGGAACAAAAATTAAAGCCCTGCTGGCTGAAACTGCAGAGCTGCCATGTCTTGGTAGACATAGGAATTGAATCAATAAAAACTGCTTATAAAATTTATATTATTAAGCAACATTTAAGAAACAATACAAATGCCCCCCAAAATTGTTTTCTGCTCCAGAAAGGTTGATCTCTTAAATGGCACACTACCTTTGCAAGTCCATCCTGGTCACATTATGAAGCACGCCCCCCCCCCCCCAAGCTTTCCTTCTAAGTATCCTTCGGCCCCTTGTCCTGTATGTTTAGAACGAAGGCCTCTGCCCATCTCCCTCTGTACACTCTACCGGGGTGATCTAATTTACCAACCCAGCTCAATGATTACCACTTTGGTGATGGCTCATCTACCCGTCCTGTCCAGAACTGTCACCTGAGTTTGAGATATTTCCCTACCTGCCCAAAGAGATGTATAAGCACCTCAAACTTAGGAAAGCTCCTTCACATGTACATCATTAGTGTCCCTAATTTCAGAAAACAACAATCACCTATCATTTGGCCAAGATAAACCTAAGAGCCATCTTTGTCACCATCTCCTCTTTCTCACCTGCAACAGCAATCTAATCACCAACCAACCCTTGGATGTTTCATCTCTTAAGTCCCTGTGGAACATTCCCTAACCCAAGCTATCGACAACTGTCATGTGAAGCATTTCAACAACTGGTTTCACACTTTTTAGTCTTGTTTCTCTGCAATTTATGCTCCACCTTGCTATCTGGGTAAGCTTTCAAAAACACCTATATATGACATCAGTTTCTGTTTAAAAACATCTGATGGCTTCTTATTACCATTAGGATAAAGTCTAAATTCCTTAAGGACACTTACAAAGCCCCAAGGGACCTGACCCCTTCTTGTTTACACCTCTAGATTCACTTCTTCCAACTCTTGCCATACTGTTCCAGGAGGCTGAGCTCTCTTGCCTCCAAACCTTCACAAAAGTAGCAATCCCTTGTGGTTAGGACCACTTACTCCCACCCTTGCTCCGTTTCCTCTAAGTCTCACATCTGCAGTCAGAGTACATACAATTGGCACTTCATCAGAGATAACTTTTCTGACTTCCAAACTAGCCCAGTTCCCCCTGCTATGTGAGCCCAGAGCTTGATGAAGGGCTTCATCAGAAATCAACCATGTCATGCAGTCACACTCAGGAAACATGTGTTGAATCAATGATAGAAATGCAGAGGAAAGACAACCTAAAATACCAAGTGGTGCTGGATCACCACTCAGTAAGCGAAAGATAATCCTGCCCCTGCCCTGACCAGTGTGGCTCAGTTGCATGTCATTTTGCAAAGCAAAAAGTCACCAGTTTGATTCCCAGTCAGGGTACATGCCTGGGTTGCAGGTATGGTCCCAGGTTGGGGAGCATACGAGAGGTAACACACCAATGCTTCTCTATAGAATCGATGTTTCTCTCCTTCCCTTCCCCACTCTCTAAATATTACACAGCAGGAAGAAAGAAGGAACTCCTACCTTCTGCAACAGTGTGGGTAGAACTGGAGAATATTATGCTAAGTGAGATAAGCCAGAGAATGAAAAGTCAAATACCACATGATCTCACATACAAGAGGAATCTAATGAACAAAATAAATGAGCTAAATAGAACCAGAGGCATAGAAACATAGAGCAGACTGACAGTGGCCAGAGGGGCAGAGGGTGGGGGATAATGGTAGACAGGAGGGGAAGGGACTAGTCAAAGAACATGTATGAATGACCCACAGCCATGGACAATGGTGTGGAGATTGGCTGTGGGAGTAGGGAGGTAGGCTGGGCAGGGGAGGGCAAAGGGGAAAAAATTGGGACAACTGTAATAGAGTAACAGTAAAAAAGAAGTGAATCTAGTAAAGAGAGAGACACACACACACACACACACACACACACACAAAATCCTGTCCCAGACCTTAGTAAATCTGTGCATAAATCTGTAACATCCACAGGCTCTGAACTCTGCTTTATGCTGTCTCATGAAAGGAGAGGAGCAGCTCTGGCACTGTATGGCGCTAAGTGACACATATTATAGGGACTTACTTTAATAAGCGAATTGCATGGCTGAAGCTATCACCTTCCATTTGTACTCCTTGATGCGGAATCTCCAGATTGGACAACTTGGAAGAGAAAAACAGTTATATCACATTATCAATTTTACAAAGGAAACTACCTTTTCTAAGTACTACTGCTTATTCTCATAGCATCTGTTCTAGGGCCACTCTTTTCCAAAGTTACAACATACTAAGCATGAGTATTGTTCACACCATTTGATTTTCTGGGAACTATATTAAGTACAGTGAAACTCCAAAATGACCCAGAGCTTCTATTAAAAAATACCTCCATAGATGGCAAGTCTTCTAAATTCAGGAGATTGATCTAATTTTGTAGCAAGTCAAAAGTAATCTATAATCAATTCTAGTGGTTCCAAAGGACGTAACCTTAAAATAATACTGGTTTTCTTGTGTAATTTAATTATGTTTGAAACACTGAACAATAGTCATATCTTACTTCTAATCACAAATATTTTTTAGTTCAGAACTTTTCTGGAATACATTTTTATTTTTAACGAACTATTTCCTGTGTGAAACCCAAAAAGAAAATATTTCCAATTCATCCATTTACACAAACGAGGTACCTTTCCCCATAAGAGGATTCAGAGAGTGAGTCAGAAATATGAATGCAGGGATGAACTAAAAAGTGAGTTAAGCCCTGGCTGGTGTAGCTCAGTGCATTCAGCACGGGCCTGTGAAGCAAAGGATCGTCAGTTCGATTCCCAGTCAGGGCACATGCCTGGGTTGCAGGCTAGGACCTCAGTAGGGGTCACATGAGAGGCAACCACACATTAATGTTTCTCCCCCACTCTTTCTCCTTCCCTTCCCCTTTCTCTAAAAATAAAATTAAAAAATACATTTTATGAAGTGAATTAAAAAGATGAATGCCCAAGAACCTGTCAGTGGAATAACAGGTTCTTTAGGTATGCCAGAAAGTTACGTGATCTACCACAGAAATGCTTGCCTTTGGCAGTGTTTCTCAGGTCTTCTATGACAGACTATTTATATCTACCTTGTTCCAGAAAGGATTTAAGCCAGCCCTAAGTATTTGACTGAACCCTGCTCTTTTGGCCTTGGAAGGGCAGAGGTTTAGAAAAAGAACTCCTAACCAAATAGACAGTAGGGGTTCAGATTCAAAAGGAAGCAATGTGCAGGAGGGCTCAAAAGTGTTGTCTCTATTCTATGGATCAGAGAAATAAACATCCCTGATAAGACTAGATTTAGTTATTCACATCTCGTTATCACTTGCTTTAGACAGAAAATGTGCTTGCTTTTGTCTTTAACATGTCTTTTTCATTGAGAGAAAAAAAAAGTAGGCAAGTTTTTAAGAGTCTGAGTTCAAAAGAATATTATACAATGTTCTCACGTCTTATGTGTGCAACAAATGTAGGAGCACAAACAAGGGGGACGGAAAGGACATATGTCTATAGGTCCATGTGGGCATTACAGATACAAGTTTCTGCAATTTCTAGCCTGTGAGTAGGGGAAGAGAGACCACACAAAAAGAGAAGAAATAATTGCACTACATTGTCCCTGGGCACCAGGTAAGCCTCTTTTCCTACTGCAAAGGTAGTACTGAATGACATTCATACAGTCAATCCACATGGCCCTATGAAAAAGCCCAAGAACACAGTCAAGCTGACAGGAAGCATGGACGCAGTCTGTACACTTTAGAAGTCATAGCCAATACCCAGACATGGACATTCATCGGGATCATAGCTCTAGGAGCTGGAACACTGAGGGCCGGAATATCTATTTTAGGTTCCCATTTCTGGGCTTGGATTTCTCTGGGCTACTGATGCTCTTCGCGATGACACACTTGATCCCACACTCTCAGATCCCAAAGCCCTATAAAGTAGGGGTCAACCCATGGCCAAATCCAGGCCACTGCTGTTTTTTGTTTTTTTAAATAAAAGGGTTATTTGAACATAGCCACACTCATTTGTTTGAATATCAACTATGGCTGGTTCGCACTACACAATGATTTGAGTAGTTGTGGTATGAGACCATACGACCCACATGCCTAAAATATTTATCTGGCCCTTTACATAAAAGGTTTGCTGATTCCTGCTCTAAAGCATGAAAGTGTTTTCTAAAGTCTTCCCGGGACTATCATCATCAATTCAACTAAAATAATCCACTTCCACATTTTCAGATGTCTTAATTCACAATTATTTACAGAGGGAAGGAGTCTTACAGTAAGTAAAATTTTAAACTACAGCAAAATAATTAAGGTTTTAGTGTATCTCTTTTAGGGACTGACAAATCCTGCCTAAAGCCCTTTTTGAAAAATACAGGTTCTGTCTGTTACCTTCCCCTTTTCTTACATGTGTGGAGATCATGCTGGATTATCACAACTGTATACTCTTGAAAACCACTAATTCTACCCAAGTCTATTGTTTCTTCCTTGTGACAATAGTAAATTCAGTTTAATATTCTTTCTGACCTGCTTCTCAGAAAGGAACCCAATTTTATTAGTGTGTAAGCAATATGTATGGCTTCACCAACTCAAAACTAAGCTACTCTTTATCAACTGACCATGTCTAGCAGTTAAATAATGCAGGATACTAATTTCCCAAAGTTGTCAGTTTTTAAATTTTAACTGGAAATAATTTACTTTCAATTTCCATAAACAGCAGAAGGCCACAATTTTGAATCAGAGAAATGAAATAATTTAAGTCATTTTAAATTATTGTGTCTCGTAGTGTACATCATGAGACACTATGATTTCAAGCCCACCCCTCCCAAAATGAACAAAATGACAATCATTCAGATTGACCTAATGGAATCAATGTAGCTTTAGCAAAGCTAAAATTTTAGCTAAAAATTAGCTAATTTTCTAGGAAAGCATTTAAAAAATTACCCTTTCATATACAGAGTACCTAAAATTGTTCCAAAAATTACCTCCACTCGAAGTCCTACAAATGGCATATTTGTATCACACACAGCAACAAAATGCGCTAGAATTTTATTGAAGGCACGTATTTCTCCTGATCGTTTGGCTTTCTTAGGTTCTACTGGACATGAATCATCAGACAACTAGAATTTAAGTAAAGAACACAGCAAAAAAGTACATGTGATGCAATTAGTTAAGGCAGTTAAAGTATTATAACAAAGCTCAAGGTTAACCAAAAATTTTATTCATTGAACAAATATTTACTGAGCAAATATTGGTCTAAACAAGAGAAATTTAGTAGTAAATATTGTATATTTAACAAGCTCTCTTGTGTGAAAGGGTATATAATTAATTATTAATTAAAAGAGAAGCATTTTCAAGAAAATGTAGATAATTTTTACTTAAACATTATTGCTACCCAGTATCTTAAAGACTGGATCTTATTCTTTTCCACATTAAAAACAGTGTAAGAAAACAACAAACATAATACATACAAATTCTTTGCTCATTTCCACACGTGATCAATACCTTGCGCTTAGTACTGGCTCTAGGCTGTTTCCCGATTTTTGTACGTAAAATCAATTCCTGGATGTTGTCCTTGAATTGCTGCAGCACGAGGGCCATGACAGGGCTGTCTTCCCGTTCCGCAACACTCACAGACAGGAAGTAGTACTTGTATGTCAGCTGTGTGGGTTTATTGGGAACCTCTAACATCTCTACAACCTAAAAAAGCCCAAATCAGAAAAAAGACTCAGAGAAATATTAGGTTTGGGATGTTTTCCTCCTTCTATCAATTAGGGGTCAAAATTATAAATCTAATATTGATGTTTTTTTTCTTTAACAAGTACGAATCAATTGTGATGTCAAAAAGAAAGCACTGCTGGTAAACATATGATTTATTTCCTAAAAAATAAATCAGAGTAAAGGAGAACAATAATAATAAAAGCAACTGTAAACTACAGCAAATGGGACATTGAGGCTATTTGCATTAGGTATTCTTAATAGTCATACCTTAGCTTATAAACTGAAAAAATTTTATGCTGAAGTCCAGTGGGTCTGCTAGACTGTTTTAAAATGTTATCTATTTTAAATTGCCCTGCTGTCTCCCTTCACCATTAAATCATCCTAAGAACTCCGCTATTATGGTAGAGAAAAATGACAATACTCTCTCTTACTTGGAATTATATAAAAAACAAACCCTGATTTTTCAACTGAAAAATGTAGTCACTGTGAAGATAAGAACAAGATCTAATACTGATAGAGCACTTACTATGCACAATGTACTGTCCTAACTACTTGACAGGTGTTAACATATTTAACCCTCCTTAGTAACTCTGTGAAGTAGAATTATCTTCATTTTTCTGATAAGGGAATGGGGGAACAAAAAAGTTAGGTTACTTGCCCAAGGTCTCAGAGCTAAGAAGTGATGGATTCATGCTTTGACCCCAGAAGTTGGGCTCCAGAGACCTTGCTCTCACCCCCTATACCAGCTTATTATTTTTAAGGTATACCTGAAATTTAAGAAAAGACCCCTAAATACTTACTTAGTAACTGAAAAATAAAAGCCATTAGGCAAGACTCTTGACCAACACATTTTCCTGTCTCTCTTCCTACACCTCTCTTTTCCCTTCCCACCCTCCTTCCTACATACTCTTTTCAGAAAACTGTTTGGCCAACACCTAAGCATCACACTGATACACCTGAGGAAATGGAAGAATTAAAAGTAAAATGGACACTTCACCAAAGACATGTGGATAGCAAATAAGCCATGAAAAGATATTCAACATCATCAGTTATGAGGACAGCAGAAATTAAGACTACAATAAGATACTATTATATACCAGAATGGCTAATTTTAAAAAAATTATAATACCAAGTGCTGATAAAGGCGTGTTGCTGGTAGAAATGCAAAATAGACTGCCACACTGGACATGTTTAGCATTTTCTTATAAAGCTGATCATACACTTAACCAGATGACCTAACAATCCCAAATCTAGTTACTTATCCCAAAGAAATAAAAATTTAGCCCCAGCTGGTATGGCTCAGTGGATCCAGTGCTGACCTGCAAACCAAAGTATTGCCAGTTTGATCCCCAGTCTAGGGCACATGCCTGGGTTACAGGCCAGGGTTACAGGCCAGGTCCCCAGTAGGGGGCGCATGAGAGGCAACCACACATTGATGTTTCTTTCTCTCCCTTCCCTTAACATAAATAAAATCTTTTAAAAAAAAGAAACAAAAATTTAAGTTCACAAAAAACCTATATTCAAATACTTATAGCACTTTTACTGATAATTGCCCTAAACTATAAACAACTGAGATGTCTTCCAACTGGAGACTGGTTAAACAAACTATGGCACATCTATACCATGGAATACTACTCAGCTATAAAAGGAGTGAACTGTTATACATACAATAACATGGTCAAGGTCAAAGGCATCGTGGCAAGTGAAAGAAACTAAACTCAAAAACAAAACTAGAGAGACAGAAAACAGGTCAGTAGTCATTAATTCAAAGTGTGGGGATGGGGCTTGATTACAGAGGGGCAGCATGAGGGAATTTCGGAGAAGGGGGGTGATGGCTCTGTTCTGAGTCATGCTGACATGGAGGATACAAAACTGCATTTATTAAAACTCAAGACACAAGAAAGTGAATTTTTACTGTATGTAAATTATATCTTAGTAAATCTGAGAAAAGTATGGCAGAAAGACATTTAAAGGCAGCAAAGCTTTCCTCAGTTCTTAATTTACATGGTAGTAGTTTTTCCACTTTTGTGAATATGTCCTCCATAAGTGAGAAATATGGAGGCTGAAGAGTAACATGTATTTAATTTTGGTCTAAACTATGTTATACAAACTATTGCTTTATAATAAAATCACTGGTCATTGAAACTAAAGCCTAGCTTTTTGTTGATACTGAATAAGGTCAGAAAATAAGTTACAACCATTTTATTTTATACAAGGGGGGGACCCAAAAACCCCCAGAATTTATTTATTAAAAACGTGTGTATTTTCCCATACATGTTTAAACTTCAGTCACCTTCCATGTACTCTCCATTTGATGAAATACATCTATCCAGATGTTTTTCCACTGCTCAAAATAGTTTTTGAACTGTTTTGATGCCTTTTAGTGCTTCTGCCATTTTTTTGTTTCACTTCTTCCACATCAGCAAAACATCCAAGGAAACAAAAAAGTCACAGGAGGTGGGGTGAGATTGGGTGAATAGGGAGGGTGGGGCACAGGATTCATGCTGCTTTTGGTCAAAAACTGAACATTCAGCATGGTGTGGGCAGGTGCCCTCGTAAATCACCCAAGATGAAATGGACAAATGTGCTGAAAGAGTCTTCAAACAAAAAATCCACTGGAGCTGAATACAACCTCTCACAATGCCCACTGGCACACTGATACAGATGGGTTCCCAGAACACTCACCTAGTGAGGGAAGCCTATACTACAAGGGGCCTGCCCTCCAGAAGATAATTCTGATTTTTGTGGGTCCCCCCTTGTATATGGCTGAGTGTAAGAGGTAATGTGTATGTTCACAGGTTTGACTACTGTGTGTGTATTCTACATATCATTTCAAATCATTTCAAATATTGACTAAGCAGATAGCTGAGAACTGAAACAATAATCCTTTGTCACATGTCAAATCTAGTTCCACAACTGGTGTTTTAAAATTCAGAAAACAGGTGAAATTCATATCAATGAGATTTATCAGTTTACATAAGTAACACTAACTTAAGATATGTCAGATTACACAGGGTACTTTTTAAAGGTATCTTTTTAAAGTAGAGCTCAAAAGCTTTAAAATAATTCATTCCCACTATCTTCAACCAACAGTCCTGAATTATATTTTTCAAACACCTTAGATTATTAACCACAAGTATCTACTTGGTGTACAGAGAAATTTCTATAAGGAGGGACATGTATTTAGGGTGAGTTTATATTTCAAATTTTTGCAAATTTTAATCAATTCAAAGATCTCAAAGAAACTAACTGGAAAACACCTAGAAAGGTGAAAAAGCAGTAAGAAAGGATCTTAATATGCACTAAAGATACATGCAATCAATAAAGTGGATATATATGCCTTCAATCAATTAAGGATGAAAAAATAAAGCTCCTTCAGCCAGTCCATATTTGAAAGACTGCATCATGCAAGTTAACTTTTAATTAAAAACAACCAAATTTATCTGACATCAAAACATCTCCAATCCTTCAGAGTAGTTGTTTTCAAAATTTTTTTTTCTTATACAAAGATGATGCCTCATCCCAAGCAGAAACTAGGTTTCACTATAGGAGATCCTAGGGTGAGGAACCGGAGCATATCGTATATTCCCCAAACCCGCCTGATTATTACATAATTTCCTAGAGACAGAATTTTCCTCCCTCTCCCACCTCTACCACCGTTCTCTCCTCTCCTGAGTCAAGAATCACTATACAAAAGTTAGCTATCCAATAAAATACACTTGCAAATTATATTAAGCAATAAATCATTTAAGATACTGACAGAATTACTGAACTTGATCACCCAAGTTACACCTTGGCATACTTACAATATAGTATTGTGGAAGACGAGTAAGTTTAATGAACAGCTTATGCTTAGACAGTTTTCCAATAGGATGAGTTGAGTAATTGGACAGCTGCAATGTATCAGTGCTTATTGTAGGCAGATGTTTTATAGACTGTTTGCAACGCTGTTGTCCAAGCCAAAACCTTAATTTAAAAAAGACAGACCACATCATAAAATCATAGAATTTTCTGATTGATTGCATGCTACTGATTTATAAGTAGATAACTGAAAACCACTAAAAAGAATTAACTTGAAGTTTAATTGAACTAGTAAAAAGGACACATGACCATAATGGTGAATCATTTTTCCACTTTTGCACTGGTTTGTTAGTTCTAGTTTAAGGAGTTAAACTGCAATGTGAGTGATTTTGATTAGTTGTAAGGTGGAATTAACTAGCATTAAGGAAGAGGCACTATATTAGTTTATTATTGGAGATGACAGATTTCCTATGGTTTATAAGACAGCACAAACTAATCTCAACATCCTTTATAAAATGCCTGAAGTGTTTATAAAACATATAGAACGAACAATAAATATAAAAGTATCTCATTTTTTCTGGTATTATTGGAAATTTATAGTACCAGTTTTTGTATTGTGTATGTCATGGGTATACCTATCAGGTGCCAGTAAGTATTAATTACCTTCTTTCCCTCTTCTCAGTTATGCCACCAGATTTCACTTTGATGGTTTTTATACTATTACTTTTAGTGCTAGGATACCACATATGTGAAAAAAGGAATATGTGTAAAATAGAGTTCATAAACTATCACTGATCCACAATGATACAACTACGTAAAATAAGAATACTGAATTTAGAAACTTTTCATAGCTACATAATAATGCCACACATTCAAGCACATATCAGTAGGCTTGCCTTGCTGAACAGGGTATAGTCCAATTCAGTTGCCATTGCTTTTGTGTGGTAAGCTGCATGTGGCACAAACTGTACTAGTTGTGCCGTAAAACCATGTTACAGTAAAGTATAAAATCTGGAAACCATTTCTTTTCACTGAAAAACTTTAACTTCACAGGACTAATTGCTAGAAATGGCTACTAACAAAAGAATAAAGATAAATTTTGAAAATATACCATCCTGACTGGTGTGATTCAGTAGACTGAACACCGGCCTGGAAACCAAAGGGTCACCAGTTCAATTCCCAGTCCAGGCACATGCCTGGGTTGTGGGCCAGGTCCCCAATAAGGGGTGTGCAAGTCATAGGGGGTGCGTGAAAAGCAACCACACATTGATGTTTCTCTCCCTCTCTTTCTCCCCCCTTTTCCCTCTCTCTAAAAATAAAAATAAATAAAAAAACCTTTAAGGAAATATACCAAATAGTTGCTTTATTGCAGGTAGAAGTTAAAAATGAATGTCTTTAACTTGCTAAAATTGCTTTCAAATCTCTACTACCAGTCCCATCAACATACCTTTGTGGGACTGGTATCTCTATTATGTATGTTATTCAAAGAATAACAGAAAAGAATAACCTAGAAATAATTAAGATATACGTGATCTCCTATAATGAGCATTAGCCTCAATATAACCTAGATTAGGTAAATTAACAAACAAGAGACAAGCTTATTTGTCACATTAAAAATTCTAAATACAAGATATCATAAATAGCCCTGGCCAGGTAGCTAACTTGGTTAGAGCATCCTCCTGATATACTAAGGTTGCAGGTTCAACCCCCAGTCAGGGCACATACAAGAATCAACCAATGAATGCATAAATAAGTGGAGCAACAAATGGATATTTCATTCTTACTTCCTCTCCCTCCCCTCTCCTCTCTCTCTCTCAAATCAATAAATTTAAAAAATATATCGTAAGTACAATGTAAGTATAAATTATAAGTATATATAAATTATAAAAAAAGACTTCTTTTCAAAGTGTATATGAAATTGCTATTTTATTTTTTAATTTTTTGTTTTGTCATGACTTTGTGAAACAAAAAATTTGAGCATTAACAGGAAATTTCCTGGCTGTGGCATGCTGCGTGTGAGGGGCCACCACCCAGACCACCCAGCTGGCTGCGGGCAGGAAAATGATCAATTTCAGTTAGAAATTAGTGAAAATCTTCAGTTAGAAGATAGCTTGAGAGCCTATGGATGTCGGGGAGAGAATATCTTGCTTTCACTCTATACAGATTAAGAGACTTCTGGCTAAAATGGAGGTATAGATAAATATACTCTGCCTCCATGCACAACTACAGCAAAAATTACAACTAAACTATAAAATGAACATGACCCAGATTTGTCAGAAAATTGAGCTGTATGAAAGTCTGACAACCAAGAATTTAAAGAAGCCACTTTCATCCAGACAGGTACCTTATCTACAGTAGGTCATGCTACTAAGACAGAAAGTCAAAGCAGCTCTACCTAGTACACAGAAACAAACACTGGGAAGCTGCTGAATTGAGGAGACAAAGAAATATGGCCTGAATGAAAAAACATAACAAAACTCCAGGAAAAGAACTAAATGAAATGAAGATAAGCGACCTATCAGATGCACAGTTCAAAACACTGGTTATCAGGATGCTCAAAGAACTCATTGGGTACTGCAACACCATAAAAAAGACCACGGTAGAAATGAAGGTTGCATTAAGTAAAATAAAGAAAAATCCACAGGGAACTAACAATGGAGGGGATGAAGCTGAGAGTCAAAACAACAATTTGGAACATAAGGAAGAAAAAAGCATTCAATATAAAAAGAAGAAAAAAGAAAAAAAGACAATGGAATAAGAAACGTCTGGGACATCTTCAAATGTACCAACATCCAAATCACAGGGGTGCCAGGAGAAGAGCTAGAAATTGAAAACTTACTTGAAAAAATAATAAAAGAAAACGTTCCTAATTTGGCAAAGGAAACAGACATACAAGGCCAGGAAGCACAGAGACTCTTAAACAAGTTGAACCCAAAGAGAACCACACCAAGACACGTCATAATGAAAATGCCAAAGGTTAAAGATATGGACAGAATCTTAAAAGCAACAAGAGAAAAGCAGAGAGTTACCTTCAAAGGAGTTTCCATAAGACTGTCAGTTGATTTCTCAAAAGATACTTTGTAGGGTAGAAGGGACTAGCAAGAAGTATTCAAAGTGATGAAAGGCAAGGACCTACACCCAAGAAGACTTTGCTGAATGTTATCCAACAAAGCCATCATCCAGCAAAGCTATCATTTAGAATGGAAGGGTAGAAAAACTATCATTTAAAATGCAAAGTGTTTCCCAGACAAGGTAAAGCTAAAAGAGTTTATCATCACCAAGCCATTATTATATGACATGTTAAAGAGAACTATATAAGAAAAAGATCAAAACTATGAAAATTAAAATGGCAATAAATGCACAACTATCAACTAAATCTGAAAAATAAACTAAGCAAACAACCAGAACAGGAACAGAATCACAGATATAGAGATCATTTGTAGGGTTATCAGCTGGGAGGGGGAGGGGAAGAATTGGGGAAAAGGTGCAGGGATTAAGAAGTACAAAATAGGGGGATGTTAAGAATAGTACAGGAAATGGAATAGGCAAAGGACTTACATGCATGACCCATGGATGTGAACTAAGGAAGGGAACTGCTGGAAATAACGGAGGTACTGGGTGGAGGGAAGCAAAGGCACAAAAACTGGATCTACTGTAACAGCAAAATCAGTAAAATATATTTAACAAAGTTTCTATATTAATTGTCAATACATGTACTTTTAATGAAAAACATACACAGATTTCAAACTATCTTTTTTCTTGTAGTATTCATTCTGATTATATTTATTGAAATGTAATTTTGTCTGTTTAATAATAAAAAATTGGGGCTTTATTTTATATGTTTGATTTGTTTTTTCTGAAGTTTGTTTTCATTGCATATTATTAAAAAAGTAATGACATGAATAGATGCTTAATATCATTAGCCATTAGGGAAATGTAAATTAAAACCACAGTGAGATACCTCATCATATTCCCGAGGATGGCTATAGTCAAAGACAGTAACAAGTGTTAGCATGAATGTAGAGAAATGAAAACCCTCAAACACTGCTGATGCAACTGTAAAGTGGCACAACTACTTTGGAAAATAGTTTGGCAGTTTCTTTAAAAAGTTAAACATAAATTTACTGTATGATCCAGTAATCTCACTCATAGTAGAATGAAAATGTAAGTCCACACATAGACCTGTATGTGAATATTCATAGAAGCATTATTTACAATAGCCAAAAAGCCCAAATGTCCAACTGATGAATGAATAAACAAAATGTGGTCTACCTATTCATTGAAGTATTATTCAGCCATACAAAGGAATGAAGTACTGCTCTAGCTGGTGAGGCTCAATAGATTGAACACAGGTCTGTGAACTGAAGGGTTGCAGCTCCCAGTAGGGGGCGCATGAGAGGCAACAACACATTGATGGGTCTCTCCCTTTCTTCCTCCCTCCCCCTCTTTCTGAAAACAAAAAAAATTAAAAGAAATCTAAAACAAACAAACAAAAAAGGAATGAAGTACTGAGATATACATGCTCCAACACAAATTCTGAAACATTATGCTAAGTAAAAGAAGCCAGTCACAAATGATCACATCATTTATGATTTCATTTATATGAAATGTCCAGAAAAGGAAAATCTATAGAAACAGAAAATAGATTCATGCCTGAAGCTGAGGCTGGGAACAGGGATTAACAGTAAATGAGTACCTTTTTGAGGTGATGAAAATGTTCTAAAACTGGGTTGTGATTATGGTTGCAAAACTCGGTAAATTTACTTCAAGTCATGGAATTGTACACTTGAGATGGGTAAATTTTATGCTAGGTAAATAATATTTGAATAGTTATTTCAAAAAATTAATACCCCACGATAAATTTGTGGTAAACTGGTTATTCATCAAAGATCATCTGAGAAGCACTAAAATAACTGACAACCATGGGAACTTTCTTATAAATAAATTATGTGAGCTTAAGGTTTTTGGGGCTTAGCTTTCTGGTTTTAGGTTATATTTCTGCTAGCTGAAAGTGCCAGATAAACAACCTCAAGGTATGCAAGATGTGAATTAATCATTTAAGTATTTAAACCTTGCTTGTTGAGCCAAAATGCACAACAAATGATGCCAATCCACAAAAATTTTAGAAACTGTTATCCGGAGTAATGACTATCATTTTTCATATACAGATAAACTAAACAGCTGTCCAAAAGGCTCATGTAATATTATCTATCTACTGACATTTAAAATCATGTCCTGTTGCCCTGGTTGGCGTAGCTCAGTGGATTGAGTGCGGGCCTGCGAACCAGAGTATACGGTTCGATTCCCAGTCAGGGCACATGCCTGGGTTGCAGGCCAGTTCCCAGCAGGGAGTGCATGAGAGGCAACCATACATTGATATTTCTCTCCCTCTCTCCTTCCCTTCCCCTCTCTCAAAAAAAATAAATAAATAAAATATAAAAAAAATAAATAAAATAAAATCATGTCCTGTTAATGAAAAAATGACTTGATGATATCAAAATCTTCAAATATTTACAAAACTAAAATTTGCCAAAGGAGAAGAGGTAGGCTAAAAGATCACGAAATTAATAGATCCCACCCCTTCTCCATTTGCCAGCTTTAATTTTAATCTCTAAAATTTATTTTTAATCACTTGGAATTTTGTTTTGTTAATTTTAAAAGAGAGCTTCTTAAGAGTTGCTGTAAGGTACACTTGCATGTTAGAGTGGTAATGAAACCAACCTCACAATTATCTCTAGCTCAATTTTCAATTTGATTTAGTTTCGTAATATGAAGCATTCAAAGGATTTTGAGACAAAATGAATGACACTATTAGAGAAGCAGAAATGATAATTTTCAAAGTGCCAGCTGGTAGATTCATACTTTGAAGATTGCCCTGAGTAAGAACAAAAAAGACACTATTGCAGAGAAGACTAGATACAATAAAATTCATTGTGTAGAGTACTTAGAGAGTACTTGTACAAGAGAAAATGTGGCAAGGAACGAAAGTTGAGTGTCATGCCCTTCATACCTGTATTTGCTCTAGAGGGGAATTTAATACGAAGCACTCCCATCCTGGACCTATTCCAAGAGAATTTAGATTTAAGTACCCAAAGGTGCTCAAGTTTCAAGTCATAAACATTAAAAGTGATCAAGAGAAAATATATCTTGTCAAAATAAGTTTCCATTTTTAGTCTCGAGCTAAATAAATAAGCTTACTTAAGTTGTTGAATCCAAGGAATGATTCGTTTCATATCCTCATTCAAAGACTTCTCCATGTCATCCAAAGTGGCCTGGTCTATAAAATAAAGCATTTCATTAATTAATGGCTGACACAAGACACAAAATATCTAGGTAGCCCAAAACTTAAAGAAAATTACTGTTTTAGGCAAATAGTAGTGTTATTTTTGAGTCAGAAAAAAACTAAACTGATGTGTCATTAGGCATAAATTAAGCTAATTTGTATTCCCTCTTTAACATTTAGTGAGAGTTACAGTTAAGACAAGTAATTAATGGCAAATATACAATTGCAGGAAGAATTAAGTAACAAATACATGAATTAATTTTGCCCATATTTTAATTCCCAAAACTCTTAGTCTACTCAATATTTTTAACTTGTATGTTTTTAAAACTTACAGTATTACTAGAATTAAAAACTTAAAAATTATAAAATTTATTAAACTCCATTATAACATTTATTCCTTTATTAAATACAAATGGTCTCTGGCATAAGCAAGCACTGCTATCTAAAGATTAGTATGCTAAATGTCACTTAGAATTTTTAATGACATTAGAAAATGCTAGTAAGAGAATGTTGAACAAAAAGCAAAATATAAAATGATTTGAAAAAATAGAAAGAGCACTGCTATGGATTGAACTGCATCATTCGTATGTTGAAGCCCTAACTCCTCATGTGATGGTATTTAGAGGTAGGGCCTTAGGGAGATGATTAGGTTTAGACAAGGCCATGCAGTTGGGGGCTTCATGATGGGATTAGTGCCCTTATGAAAAAAGCCAGAGAGTTTGCTGGCTCTCTCATGATCTCTAGTGCTCTCTCCCTCTTCCTGCCATGTGACCACACAGTGAGAAGGTTGACATCTACAAGCCAAGAAGAGGGCCCTGACCATAAGGGGACCATGCTGGCAATCTGCTTTCAAACTTCCAAACTCCAGAACTGAAAGAATAATAAATTTCTGTTGTTTAAGCCACCCATTCTGGTTCTTTGTTATAAAAGCCTGAGATGAAAATAACAATGATGGCCAAGAGTAACTATTTTTTGCTTCTTCTCTCATTTTTACATGTTTATTTTCATTTGAGTATATACTGTGTTAATAATCAAGAAAACAGTTAAATAAAGTTTTGAGGAACAGACAATTGCCAGTTGGTATGAACCATAGTTAAAAGGTAATTCATAAATGTGTCAGTTACCATTTAGCCAACATAAATTTGATGTGATTCAAAGTAATGTGGCCAGTTTTCCATGAGAAATTCACGGAACAGCCTTTCTAGCCATATAACTAAAAAACCCTTTATTTTCATCAATCTATCTAGCTTAATATAAATTTCAAATGGCAAATGTGCTATTAGCAATACAAAACCATTAAGTTTCTAGTATTTCATCATTTCAGAACTCAGTAATAAAACATGTAAGAAATCCAACTTTAATTTCTACTGTATTTAATCTAGAAAAAAGTCTTTTCCTCCAGGATTCTGTACCCCAAGTTATCATAGATATTTATAGTCATTAAATTGTCTTTCAGCCAGGAATGACATGAGAATACCTTTTCATCATCTCCATGTCATCCATTTATTAGTGGTAAAACAGTTCATCTAAAAAACATCAGCCATCAACATTATTACTTTTACATAAGAGAAAGAACATGAATGTACTTCATATTGGGAAGTTTAGCCTCAGGTACAAAAAAATCCAAACTAGAGTTAAAATGGGCCCCAAAGAATAGAAGATATCAGTGAGTTATTCCTTCCATATCTACTCTCTATACTTGCTTATGCCACTCTTCTCAATATCTAATGGCAGAAAATTTAAATTTTGCTTCTGTTAAAAATATTTTTCCTTACACTGAATGACTATATCATTTAGTAACATACCGAGTCCATAAAGCATCAATTGGAACATTCCAGAATGCAAATCTACATAAATGTGTAGACACTCCGAATTATCGCAGGGCTCCAAGATGGGAACAACAAGAGCTGGAAGTGCAGTCTCTATGGAAGCTGAACAGTTAAAAATTAAAAATTATATTTCTAAGTAGTTCTAAAAAAGAGCATTTCTCTGTGACTAGAAACAAACCAACTATTGAACAATCCAGACAGAAGAAAAACATGATTTTTGCAGAACTGGAATTGTACTATTAAGTCAATTAGTAGCTCAAAAGAGTATAATCTTCAAGGTAACTTGAAACAAACATGCCTGTCTCAAATATTATGGCAAAAAAATTTCAAGATGCCTTAAAAAAGGTTTAAACAGCTCATGAAAATTTAACTTCACTAGTGAGCCAGGTTCTTGTTTTACTTTCACTCAGTAATTACAAGTAAGTTAATTTTTAGGATTTTATTTTTAATATAGTAGGAAGAAAATCATTTGTTTGGTAAATCAAATAAGTTTCATCTATGGCCAAAATATTCTCAATGCCATTCTTCATAAAAAAAGGTTTTCTGGAAATTAGGACCCATGTGTTTAAAAAATTTTTGAGAACTATTAAACATTAATGATTATATAGGAAAATGTTTTCCATCATTTATATAACTAATTTTCAAGTTACAGAAAAATAAGACATAGGCAACTATTATACACAAATTCCCAAAGCTGCCAATATTCTTGTTCTAGAATTTCACAGTATTTTTATCAGGCCCAATTAACTTTTCCCTTAGTCCCACAGGTTGGCATAACAAAGTAAGTAAAGGAGCAGAGCACTGAAAGCACAACGGTGCTGATCAGGTTGAAGTGTTGTAAAAGGAGTATGCTCTTTTGGTTACCACATTTCTCTAAAGCCACAGCACAGAAGAAAGGCAGGCAGTGAGAAGAGTGGTAATAGAGTCCCCGCCTTTAACCAGATGTGACTTCTCTGTGCTACTTGATTAAACAAGGACAGTAATATCTTGCTGTCCATGCCACGGATCCTTCAGAGGAAGAAATAACACATTTGTAAGGGTGATTTAAAAAGTAAAGTGCTTAACAATATACATTATCTATACTTCTTTATAACTCAAAGACATACCAAAACCTTTTATTATGGTTTTGCAATAATTAAAATATGTGAGGATACCACTGCTACTATCTATACAAATTATCAAATTTATAAAGCAAAATAAATTTTTTAAGGAGATATATTTAGTCAGATGAAAACAAATTGCTTGAAAATATATCTGATATATATTTGTATACAAATGTTTAAGATGCAGCTCCAGCAGAACTGTCACCGAAAAATAAACAAAATAGAACAAAAAACAGAAAAAGGCACAAACAGGAATTGCTTGCACAGTATTTTACAATTCAGAGCAGTGTGAGAAATGAGTTCATGTTTTGCTGAATTGACTATGTTAACATAATAAAAAGTACTTACAGATTTGAAGCACTGTTGCTGATTTTTAAAACTGATCTGTACTGTTAAAATTTCTAACAGGATAGAAATGTATTCCTTAAAGCAAAAACATTTTTAAAGTGTAGCAATTAAGTAAAACTAGTTCTGACAATTAGGATAACAATTATAATTTCAATCTAATTATAAAAAATGAGCATTCTTAAAAAGGTAGGGCATCAAAGTAGAACATACAACACAGTCCAAAAGACAGAAAATACTTTGATGTATATATCTGAACATATTTTATCACCAGTAATGTCCACAAAATAAAACAAACGAGGCCCTAAGCATTTAAAAGCAACCAGTGCTACGGTGTCCAAAAATGGAGAAACTTGTGAATAAAGTATAGAGGGGAGAATTCAAAGCTATGCAAGATGACAGGACTGTATACTATTTTCTCCTGTAGCAGGAATGTATATACACATATTTCTTATTTGTCCCTATCTATTTATTGAGGACGACATGAGGAATGCACCAATAGACAGTAATATAAAGTGTGAAGACTGAAGACAAGCCACTAGGCACAATTAGGAATGGCTACGTGTAGTTCATAGTTTCTGAATTGACTTCGATACCCCAATTTCAGTGCTGACAGAGCACAACCCAAGGAGAGCATCCCTGCTTCCAAGAATCAGTCAATGTGGCAAATAGGGCCACATGGCAAGTCACCTTTAGTGCCTTTCACTGCCTTTACCCAGAGCCTTTTTTCTACCCTTAAGAAACCACATCCCCTGGCTGGCATGGCTCAGCAGATTCGGCACCAGGACTGCGAAGCTGGGGGGTCACAGGGTCGAGTCCCAGGCAGGGCATGTGCCTGGGTTGCAGGCTGGATCCCCGGTGGGGGCCACATGACAAGCAACCACACATTGATGTTTTTTGCCTCTATTTCTCCCTCCCTTCCCCCTCCTCTAAAAATAAATAAATGAAATCTTAAAAAAAATTAAAAAGCAACCACATACTGCCACCTGGGCTATACAAAACCCACTGTCTGTACATTCTCCTATCCATCCCTTGAAATGCTCCATTTGGAGGGCTAGCTACTCATGTCTTCAGTTCATTCCAGTGAGGAGCTGGAAGAAAAGCCAGGGGAGAAAGGGTAACTGTATTAAGGGATTCCAAAAACAGCCCCTGGTCTGAGTAAAGATCTGATTAAAGTACGCTTTCCCATCACAAAAGGGATCAATTAAGACTGCATGAAGAGTCTAAATGCATACACATGAATTTTAAAAAGTTAAAGCATATGCCCTAAAATGATGGGTCAGAAGACCCTTTTCTACAGCTGTCCTCATTTCCAGAACTGAGAGGCCCAACCCTATATGCCAGCACTCCCCCCGCCCACTCCAAAAATAGCTTCCAAAGCACCTTTCTCTAACACTGAGGACTCTACAAACACCTAGGGCTTGCAAACCACTACAGTAGCACACTTCTACTAGTTAGAGATCTAGGAAGAACCTGGACATCCTCTAATTACAGATGAGGAGACTGGGGTCCAAAGACTCTGACTTGTTCACTTGAGCACATGGTTGAACTCAGATCTTTTGGCTACTCAAGTAGTGACATCGCTACAAAATGCTGCTAAAGAAAAAGCTTCGCAACTTACGAACAGCATACAAAACTTCCTATGTAAACATATGCTTAAAGTCTGTTTTTCAAAGTAATTTAAATATCCTCAGGGCAATTATACTAAGTTTTTTTTAAATTAAGCCTTGATTACAGATGATACTGAAGTAAACCAGAGTCTATCAAAAAATCACAAAATACTCTTTCCTGCAATCTCAACAAATGAAATTTTAGAATTTCCCTGTTTAGAAAAATTAGAAATTAGAAAAATTAAAATTGCAAAAAAATTTTTTTAAGTTTTTGTTAAGAACAAAAAAGGGGCATTTCAACAAGGGTGCCCAAACAATAGGGGAAAAATTGTCTTTTTAATCAAAGTTACTGGAACAACTGCATATCGCTATACAAAAGGATGTGGTTAGACCCTTATCTCACACCAAACATAAACATTAGCTAAAGGGAATGTGAACATAAGAGCTAAAACTATAAAACTCTCAGAAGAAAACACAGGCATACATCTTATGACCTTTGGTTAAGTAGTGATTCTTTAGGTATGACACTAAAAGTACAAACAACAAAAAGAAAAAAAGACAAATTTGACATTGTCAAAATTAAAAACTTGTGTTACAAATGATACCATAAAGTGAAAAAACTCACAGAATGAAAGAATTCTTGCAAATCATGATATATGAAAAGGTACTTACATAAAGAAATGTTATAGCTCAATAATAAAAAGATAACTAATCTAGCCCTAACCAATGGGGCTCACTTGTTTGGGCACTGTCCTGTAAAGCAAAAGGTTACCAGACCGATTCCCAGTCAGGGTACATCCCTAGGCTGTGGGCTAGGTCCCCCAGTAGGGGGCGCATGAGAGGCAACCACACATTGATGTTTCCCTCTTTTTCTCACTCCCTTCCCCTCTGTCTAAAAATAAATAAAATCTTAGAAAAAAGAAAACTAAGAAATCTAATGTTAAACCTTGATGAAGCTACTGGATGTGTACCCTCAAAACAGATTTAGCCACTACATTCAACAGATGTCTGACATACTCTTTATTTCTTTAAGTCCCGCATTTGCATTTTTAAATTAAGCTGCCCTTCCTCTTAGTCTTTAGCTTTTTAACCTATATTCTTTCACCATCCTTGAAAATCTTGTATTCTAAATATATTTTTCTGCCTTTCTGTCTATTCTTAAGGCAGTGTTTTTATCTACTTCATCAAAGCAATTTTAATCCACTGTGACTAGTCCATAGCTAAGAAGCTGCTTTTTAAGTATAATGGATTGAGGTGGGCTCTGTGATAATGAAAGGCAGTGTCTTTGCTACTGGCACTATTAAGACTTCATATTTATATGGCATTTCACTTACATCATCTCACTTAAAGGATGTTCACTGTGTGAACAAGGTAATCAAGGCCAAGAACTGGGGTAGTGATATTACTAAATAGGTGCATTATAATACTGTGAAACTATATTCCTAAAATGGAAGTGCTTACTTTCTAAATGACTATCCCCAAAGCTCTGAATCTACTAGTTAAATAGAAGATTTTTCACTATGTGTGTACATCTGTATTTATTTTGAACCTTGTTAATGTATTAATAATTCAAAATAATGTTTAAAAAGACAAAGCATATATTCTGCTTCGAAAAGGCACATTTTATAGCTATATCATAAAAATCTGCAAAGCTGCCTTAATTGCAGAAGAAAAACTAAAAGTAGTAAGATTCATATTAAAATGTTAAAATAGCTTCCATTTCATTTCCATAGCTTCCATTCTTTTTTTAGGAAAAAAAGAATTTTAAGGAAAGTCAGTATGTAAACATTTGAAAATAAGGCCAAGTTAAATAAAAAGAAAATAAGGGAAAAGTTAGGACAAGCTTGGTAGATCACAAGTTAAAAATGCAAAAATGCCCAGCCTCCATAACGAAACCAGTATATCAGGAGAAGTCATATTCAGACAGACCCTTCGGAAAATAAAAGTGAATACCAGTTCAAACAAAAGAAAGAAATGCCTATTTAAAGAACCTACAGTTTTCATTGGCATTGAAGCCTCTAAGAATGGTCTTCAGCTCCTGGAGCTTCTGATGAGCTCGTGCACGGACACTGTCAATCAGGAGTTTTTCTATTGATAAGTGATCAATCTGCATAGACAAGAACAATAGAATCTTATGTGTAATTTAAACATTTTTACTTTAAAAGCCTGAGTAGCTTACTATGCTTCAAGATATTTTCTTTTAGAATCATACTGATTAAGTGCAAACTTAAACTTAAAAAAATAAACATGGTATGGGTGACTTAAAGACTAGAGATAACATTTTGGCTTGTACAGATCAAGATACAGTATGCACCAGTTATCATAAAGATTAAATGACAAACCTTAAAAATAAAACAATGATCTGATTTAAATTTTAAAATATGAAAGAATATTTTTAAAACTTAGAATATTAGATTTTTAACAAATGACAAGTGTAGAAGCATAACAATCATTTAAAACAAGTTTCACAAAGGATTTTAGAAATAACTAGGTATTTTTTAAGCATTTTTTAAATTTAATTATTGTTCGAGTACAGTTTTCTGTCTTTTACTCCCATCCCAGCCCAACCCAACAATTAGATATTTTAAAGAATATGTATTAAAAGTTTAACTATAAACAATAAGTTATATTATATTCATTTCATTAAATCAATATTAAAATATACTGACATCATCTACCTTCATGGCTCTTTCTACTAATTTGGAATCAGAAACTGGCAAAGGAGGATCATGAAAAATCTGCAAAGGTTTAGAGACATCATTCTCATCGATTTTAATTGTAACTTTGTGAACAGATGCCATCCCTGTTTTTCTCCCAAGGACCTGTTGACTAAAGAGAAAAAAAGAAATATACAATTTTTTCAATACAGACTGTTAACTTTTGGATTGAAATAGAGGAAATCCATTGTGTGCCTTAGCCAGAATCTAGAACATGACAGACCCTCACTGTTTGTGGAGGGAATACATTAATATTGGGAAGAGAGCCAGTCTGTAATCAAACACAGTATTTGATTTACTGCATTAAAAAACACCACAGAATTTAAAATTAAAACAGGCACACAAACAAACATAAATCCAAAACAAAACAACCTATATTCTAAGTGGTATCTAGTCATCTCTGATTGCTTTATAGAAAACGGGACTCAAGCAAAATTTAAACAGGGAATTAAGCACTACGAACAGCCTGATACTATTTTTCCCCAAAACCTTACCCCCAAAAGATATTAAAAAGGTGCGATTCAAAATGTAAAACTGTGATAAGCAAGCATGTTTTTTAAAAAAACAATATCCAACAACCTAAGTTTTTTAGCAATCTGGTATTAGCCCAGAGTAATCTTTTTTAGAATAAATCTTCGGACAAGCAGATAGATGTCTACATATTTAAAACACGCCACATTCTAAGAAAGGTGTCGATTTTGGATGTCCTGTGAAATCTGTATGCTATCACGGGACCTTACTATACAAAATCATGTTGTTAGAGGCACACAGCTATCAGCATATAGTAAATCAGATGTATAAGAGAAAAAGAGAAACAGAGTATTTACAGTCATAGCATGAATTCACCAGAATCAACTTTACTTACTTCCAAACTGAGAGGGAGAGGCACTTTCCAGGATGATACCTTTCTACCTGCACAAGGTCTCCCCACCGCTCTCGGATTAACATTAGAGTTTGGGAATGTAGCACTTCTAACTGAAGTGATAAGCAGAAAGAATCTGATGGATCTTGTTAAGCAAACACAATATAGATTACTACCAACAGCCAATTAAGTATAAGCAAACTTCATTTAGTAAAAGCTGTATTCCCAAAAGCTGGTTATAAAACATTTCTGAAATTATATTTCTCCAATGACTCATCCTAAAAAGTGATATAACTTGTGCCATAATCTTAGAAAAAGGTGTATTTAATTTTGATCTAATTATAAACAAACCATAAGGTTCAAGTTGCCCCTTAATTCATCAGTTTAGAGAATGTGGGTAGACCAAATAGTACTACTTTTTTCTCCAAATAGTACTATTTCTAATTCATCATTTTTTGTTTTTACCCGCAAAGTCAACAATAAAATTTAAAACTTGGTTTATTATATACCTATCACTATTCTTCACATTGACTAGTCCCCCTGCCCCATTTCTACCAAAAGAAGGGGAAGAGGAGAGTTTAGGCTACTACAGTTCAAGACTAGAAGCAGAAGGATACGTAGGCAATTGTACATGTCCTGAAGAGGTTTCTCATCAGCAAATAGCCTTGACTGCACCAGCTGATGGATAAAGTCGATTTGCATGCTATGAACCAAGGCTCGCCCATCTTCCATTAGCAGAAGACAAGACAGTGGTTAATCAGAAAAGCATACAGATCATGTCACAGTACCAACTAATAATGAATTTTTTTAAAAAAGAATTGAAACTATCTTGGAAAACTAGAGAATATTATATTTAAACACTAAAATCTCTAAGGTCAGTCAGTAGTTATGATTATCATAAAATCTACTTCAAATTATATGATACATTGCTAAACACATTCATTAATCTGCAAAAATGTTTCAATGATATAAAAACACCAAACATTTAAATCAATACTTAGGATTTAAATCCATATTTGTCATTTACCTCCTGTCTCCTTATCCTCTACTAGAATTTCTAGCTTGAGAAGACGCCATGGAACATCAGGATCATCTCCCATTACAGTCAAGGTGGCTTCAAATTCTCCTTCGACTCGAAACTTCACCCGACCATTTGCTTTCAGAAAAAGAAAAGTCTACTTTATTTTTAAAAATGAGCAGCTTTTCACCCTAGGTGCTATGGCTCAATTGGATGGAGCACTGGTCCCTAGACCAAAAGGTCAGAGGTTCGATTCCTGGTCAGGGAATAAGCCTAGGTTGTAGGTTCTATCACCTGTCAGGATGCATGAAAGAGGCAAGTGATCAATGTTTCTCTTTCACATCAATGTTCCTTTCCCTCTCTCTTTTTCCCTTCTCCTGTTTAAGATCAATAAGCATGTCCTTGGGTGAGAATTTAAAAAAAAGAAGCTTTTTGCTAACCCAGAACTGTCAGTCTTGCTTATAAGAAATTTTAAGTAGACTGAATGTTTTTTCATTAAGTGTTCAAACAGTTCAGTGGTTTCTGCATAAGCAGTAGCCAGGTTCCAGGTCATTGAGAAACCAAAGGCAGCCCCCAGATGGTATGGCTCAGTTGGTTGGGTGTTACCCCACAAAGCAAAGGCCACCAGTTCCATTCCCAGTCAGGGCACATGCCTGGGTTGTGGGTTCGATCACAGGTCAGGGCACATATGGGAGACAACAATGGATGTTTCTCATATCAATGTTCTCTCTGTTTCTCCCTCCCTTCCCCTCCCTCTACAGTAAAGAGAAAAAGGGGGGAAAAAGAGAAAGAAACCAAAGACAACTCTTTTAACTTCCAAGAACAATATTTTCTTGAGGCTCAACCCTGAGACGTGTCTCTCCTCCACCCCCAGGCTGGAGTGATCTCACTCACTCTCACCCACTCGCCAACTTCAAATACCAGCACTGTATTTCCAGGTAATAAAGAGATGATAGGGCTGACAAGTGACAGATTCAAAGACAACTAGAATTGTAGGTCAAAATTTCATAATGATATTTCTTTGAACAAAACCCCAAAGCTTTTAAAATATTCTAACAAGTGAATTGTTAAAAAAAACAATAACCTTCAAGTACATACCAACTGTAAGATTTGCTAACTGAGGAGGAAGGTCTGTGGTTACAAGACGATGTCTAAGAATCTGGTTCAGCTGGTGAAGTGTGGCTTGTTTCTCAATTTTGGTAATTGGGTCTGGAGGAATAATTTTATCCTTCAAAAGAATTTAAGTGATTTTAAAATAACATACAAAGAGGCATAATTTTTAGCTGTGCCTGTCTTAACACAGTATTTTCTTACTTTACCCAAGAGAATATCCACATTCCTTTCTGCAGTCTATATCAGTAATAGTGACCTTTACTATCATGCGTTAGAGTGCCAAATGATTCCAACAGTTACCCATCTAACAGAGTCATACAACATGATCTTCATGCTCTATGAAACCAACTTAATGTCACTAGATGACTTCCACCACTTCTTAAAAGTATAAAGTGCAAGTGTACCAAGGCAGTAAACTACCACACAATAAATCTTTAAAAATACTTCCCAAAAGCAACTAACATGCAGTACTTTCGTATCTGACATAGATCTAAATTACATCTGCACATCTGTTTATCCTCACCAAAAAATACCCCACAAAAACAAAAAACCCATTTTGATACCTACTCACATTCTGACCCCAATTGATTTAAACAACAAACAAAACAATACACAATTTCAGTTATAGAGGAAAAAACTACATAAAATATTTGTTTTAAAAATATAAAAGTTTTTGCTGGTTTACTTACTAATATAGTAGATCCAGTGCCAAAGCCTTCAACTTTTAAGATGAGGGTGGGTGGGGGAGAATGTACTTACCCTGATGCAGGTTGGCAGCCGTGGGTAAGACCCAGTAGTCAGTACATCAATGGCATATGGAATGGCAAAACTAGGCAGGCGTGCATGAACCAGAGCATCTCTAGCTAATGAAGCAAGGCGATCAGCAGTGTCCACAAATAAGATGGCTTGTTGATCTAAAAAGCTTGAGATCATCTTTAAAGCAAAGGATAAATGTAGTAAATAAGTTTCCTTGAAAACTACCACTTTTCACTTCAAATATCATTGATTCGTTTCAAAGTAAATTTCAAGGAGAATTAATACAGGTGTTCCATACTGCAAAATATTTCTTTAAAAAATTTCCCAATTATTTGAAGAAATTTTAAAACAATAATTTTTCTGTCAATTTCAGTAAAAGATTTTCTAATTCGTTTCTTCATTAACATTACAAATACACAATATCATGAGTTGGAAAAATAAATAGGGGGGTAGACAGGGCAAGGGGGAGTAATGGGGGGAAATAGGAATAACTATAATTGAACAGCAATAAAAATATAACTTGAAAAAATAAAAATAAAATAAAATAAAATGCTTTTAACTACTTTTAGAGACTCCAAGAGTTGGTTGGCAACAACGAGTAAATTCTGAGAAGTCCTAAATCAAATTACAGCAGGCCAGAGGGTGGAAGGAAGAGATAAAAATGGGTCAATCCGTTAAGTGCAGTGCAAAACTAACAAAAGACTGCTCACACTCCTTAGTGTAGGTTGGAATTATTAAATTAACTCCCAGGTGGCTATTTCTGAGATTATCTAAAGAGAGAAGAGCCAGGTACAATTAAACCCCAGGAGCCTCAGCTTCTTGTTTACATATGAGCTTTGCACCTATCCCAGAACTAACCCCCATTTTCCTTCTCCCACCTTTTGTCTAGAGCTAATGTAAAGCCTTTCAGCAGGGCTTGCGCCAACCCTCACAACCCACACACTTGATGTATGAAAATGCTACAAGGATGGACATACTTGTCTTTTCTACCTTGCCACGGTGATTCAGATTCCATGCCCCAAGACCAGTCATCTTTTTTTTTTTTTTTTTCTTGCGGGCAATGGCCTAATGAGCCCTTTCTTTTAAAAAGACTTTCAATTAAAATTTTTGTTTAATAGTTGGTAATGAAGTGTGGATTCCTGAACCCAGACTGCCTTGGTCTCAATTTTAGTTCTACAATTTATTAACCCTATAACTTTGGGTAAGTTACTTAATCCCTCTGTGCCTCAGTTTTTTCAACTGTAAAATAGAGATCATTTCCAACCTCATAGGTTGTTCCAAGAATTGGAACAATGCCTAGAACATGGAAACATTCAATAAACATTGCCTGTTATGAGATCTAGGTCAACTTCATGCCCAACATGAAGATCCTTCCCATCAATTTCCTGACTTAGTGCATTTCGTAAGGGCATGTGAACTAGTAGAGCTCTTCACAGATCTGAAATCTGTAAGGTCTGTCTGGAAAAAGTCCAGCCATTGTTAATATAATGAGAACTGTTTGTACAACATCAATGTAACCTGGCAGCCAAGGAGAGGGAACTAAAATGCACGTGTGAATAATGATAACTTCACTGTACTAGTCAGTGGGGGTGGTAGATGCCACTGAGTGAGCATGTGTACTGTGTGGCCATTGCATTCAAAATGACTGAGCAAGTAGAGCAATGAATCTGCATCAAATTTTGCAAATTTGAATATTCTTCCATGGAAACTATTAGGATGATTCAGAAGGCCTCAGCTATGGGCAACTGGTGATGGGCAGCTTCATCACAACAATGTGCCTGCTCATGCATCATGTCTCATGCAGAGTTTTTTGGCAAATCATCAAACCACCCAGGTGACTCAGCCTCCCTACAGCCCAAACTTGGCACCCTGCGACTTCTGGCTTTTCCCAAAAGTAAAATTACCTTTGAAAGGAAAGAGATTGCAGATAGTTGATGTGATTTGGGAAAACACGACAGGGCAGCTGATGGCAAATGGGAGAACTGTGTGAGATCCCAAGGTGCCTACTTTGAAAAGGACTGAGGTGTCATTGTCCTATGTACAATATTTGTGTCTTGTATCTTCTTCAATAAACGTCTCTATTTTTCATATTATATGGCTGGATACCTTCTGGACAGACCTTGTATTTCCTTGAAACTTTTATCTTCTACTTCTATTCTGGAACAATAGTTAGTCTCTCATGCCCTTCAAAAAGGGGATGCCCAACCAATCTGCAAGCTAAACATTCCACATCACTTTAATTAGTCTTCACATCTCCAAATTCCTGACTTGTAATTCTTGTCCCACTGCCTAGAAATGCTTCTGTACCAGTGGCCAACTTAAAATATGGTATCCAGAATTAATACCACATCATGCACACAAAATGCCCTACATTTTCTCACATTTCAATACTCATTTTACTATCTGATTTTCACAAGTCCAGGAAGTACACAAAAACCAGATAATTACCATCACCATAGAGATAAAAAAAAAAATTGAGGCTTAGGTTAAGACATATGCCCAAAGAAAATTAATTATCAGAGAAGCCAGAACCAAAAAATGTTTCTTCTAACTCTTCATTGGACCAGCAAACCCAGTACAAGTGTTACCTTCCGTTACTAGTAAAGGGGACCAAAGTTTTGCCACTCCAAAATATATTTTCTGGGATATTTTAAGCTGGTTATTTTTAAGAAACAAAGACTCAAAAAAAAAAAATCTTTGCTCCTCCTCCTTACCTACCTAAAGGAATTCAGACAGAAAAACCAGTTTAAAGGAAGGGAGTATCACCTTAGCATAATATAAACTAAATGTGGCAGACAGGGAAAAATTAGGCAGAGGCCATTAGTGGGACTCCCCTCTGTGTCCCATTGTTTCTGAGTGGTGAGGTAAGAATTTGTTTACCATGTCTGCTCTTTCTCTGCTACCTGTGAATTGCCTGCTTTCACTCTGAAATACCAGACCCCTGCCTCCCCTCCTCAGTCAAAAATGGCATATAAGGTGCACCCTTAAGTCTCATATTCTTATGAAACTTCCATATGTACATATGTAATAAATTTGGATATTTTCACCTATTAACTTCTCATGTTATTCTAATTATTTTACCTTAATCAGAAGAACTTAGAAATCTGGGAGGAGCATTTTTTGCGCCCCCACACTAGTAAAATGGATTTTTATCACTGCCACCAACACTAACTTCTTATTAGAAGCCACAGCTAACACATAGCAAGTTTGGACACAACTAAAAGGCCTTAATCTCTTGTTCATGATTCTCTAACAGGCAAGATCCACTTTCCCATCCTAATTTAAAGCAGGACTGGAATCTGATTTTAACATATTTATATAACCATCTTGAATCCCACTTCTCTCAACTTCTGAACTGGTTTTTATTCAAATTTAGGTTATCCCAAACTTCCCTTCGCTCAAGACACTGTAAAAACGCTTATCAGACTAATAAAGCCAAGGCCAAAGAGCAGCAAAGACCGCCCTCAAGGAAAACATTCATTGGCCCTAGCAAGGTGTCACAGTTTATCCATCCCAAGGCCCTCTGCTTTAAACATGGGTAATCAATGAAACACTCTAAACCATCTTGTTCAACTCAAAATATACTAGCTTCAGCTATATTCCTTTGACTTAGAAATCAAATAGATAAAGATTAAAACTTTTGCTTTGAGTAACTTATTAGTGAATCCATATAGGTCCCTAATGATCAGCATGTTCTTTGTTTCCTTTTAAGTACAGCAGTTAATATGACTAGTCATCTTCTTTACATTTTAAAATTTAAATTTTATTTCTCGATTACAGTTTATATCCAGTACTATTACGAAATACTGCATTAGTTTCAGCTGTACTTGACAATCATATATACTTTACAAAGTGTTCCCCTGATACCTGTACAATTTAACTGAGCACCAAACAGACATTTCTCTAAGAAATATTTACAAATGATCAAAAGCACATGATAAGATGTTCAACATCATTGGTCATGAGAGAAATGCAAAAAACTACAATGAGATGCCCACCACACCTAGTAGAACAGCTGGAGTCAAAATGTCAGACAAATACTGACAGAGAGAAATTGGAACCTTCATACACTGCTGGTGGGAATATAAAATGGGACAGTCATTTTGGAAAACAGTTTGGCAGTTCCTCAAATGAATAAACATAGACTTACTATATAACCCAGCAATTCCACTGTTAGGTATCTACCCAAGAGAAATAAAAACGTATGTCCACACAGAAACTTGTATAAAAATGTTTACAGCAACACTACTCATAAGAGCTCAAAACTGGCAATAACCTAAATGGCCATTAACTGATGAATGGATAAACAAAATCCATACAATTCAGGTGTAAAAACAAAGTACTACTACATGTTACAATGTAAATGAACCTTGAAAACATGCTAAGTAAAAGAAGCTAGTTACAAAGACCACATGATTCCATTTATATGAAATGTTCAGAATAGACAAATCTATAGACAGAGTTGATTACTGCTTGCTTAGGGATAGTTAAAAGGGTGAAGGTTTAATTTTTGAGGTGATGAAAATATTTTAGAATTGACTGTGGTGATGGTTGTACATATCTGTGAATATACTAAACACCACTGAATTGTGTACTTTAAAAAGGTGGATGGTATGGTATGTAAATTACATCTCAATAAAGCTGTTTTTTTTAAAGCTCCACAAGAATGTGAGAGACATTTTCTTTTCCTTAAATAAAACATTATCCAGACAAAACAGTCATTAGTCAGAGTTCTATAAACCGTGTATTTATACACTCAGCTAAACATGTACTATGTCTGGCATGGCTAACAATCATTATCTAAAAGCGCCTCTAAAAATATCAGTTAAATCAGGGGTGTCAAACTCATTTTCACCGGGGTCACATCAGCCTCATGGTTGCCTTCCAAGGGTAAAACATAATTTTAGGACTGTATAAACGTAACTATTCCTTAACAGTTAAGTGAGAGCTCAGTGCCACAAGGTAGAAACACGGTGCTGGGCTGGATATAACAAGGTGGAGGGCAGGATTTGGCATGCAAATGTTGTGTCTGCCACCTGTTGAGTTAAATAATCACTAGGTTGAGAACAGAAGTGTCAAAACATGAATAATCCTCTAATTCTCCAGCTGATGAACATTATCTTTGACATAAACACATCTGTATCTGCATTCACAAAACATAAACACTAAAACTTTACATAAATTTAATGACACTTCATCAAAATATGACTTACTTGAATAGCCAGTTCAAAAAACTAACACTGTACTATGAATTAATAAGAAATGAATGCAATACAGCTCAATATCAAAACCAAGAGTTCTGGTTTTTGTTTGATATAATGTTACTGAAGCACAACTCAGTATCAAACAGGTAACTTAAATACCCATGGTATAATTTGGGATTTAACACCAGATTTGAAAAGTTGTACACTTGGATTTGATATACTTCAGTAATACCTAACTTTTCATTGAAAGTTTGATCATCTTTAAGAAAAGATTATCCCATCCCTGTCCTGAGAGCTCAGTTGGTTAGAGCATCATCCTGATAAACCAAGTTTGCGGGTTCGATACCTGGTCAGGGCACATACAAGATTCAACCAATGAATGAATAAATAACTAAAACAACAAATCAATGTTTCTCCCTTTCTCTAAAATCAATTTTTTAAACAAACAAACAAACAAACAAAAAGAAACATAATTGGGCTGTAGATTTCTTTCTGAAGTGCAATTTTATGGCATATGCAAACCCCAACAGATTTGCAAATATAAAATTCTATAAAAGTATTTCTAATTTAGTTTCTCAGGGTGCCAAAAATAAATTTATTATGGTATCTCAATAATGGGTAGCTGTTCATTATAATTATCCAGGAAGCCTGATAAACTTATTTAAAAAATTTTAATGTCATTACATAACCAAATTAAAAAAAAAGAATTTTTAGCATCAATGTCAAATTTACTTAGAGAATCTACCCCATTTCCCACTTTGCAAATATAAGAAACAGTGACTAGGAGGCCACTTGCCCATTGAAACATGGGCCTGAAGAGCTGACCTCAATTAAAGTGGGTAAATGCTCTCATTATATTTTAGGATTTTATTTTTTTATGACAGTTACTCTACCCTTTTGAATATGAACTCCCATTTCTCTCATTAGAAGTGACTGAAGCAAAATAGGAAGGAATGAATAATTGTGCATCTCATGTGTTAACACCACACTATTCTCCTCCAAGTTATGAGCTCAGTAGGCTAACGCAAGATCTCTAGTGATATTTTTCCTCTGAACACATCTTGAAAATAGCTTAAAACTTTTTTTGGAAGGAGGGGGGCAGGTTTAGCATCTTTGATAAAGCATCTTTGATATGCTTCACTCTATGCCACTCCTTTGAATTCAAAAGGGTGATTCAACAGTCAAAAAACTATGAGTTTCTTGACAGCAGGAGCTGTGCCTTATTCAAGTCTCCACCCACCACATCCCATAACCTGTGCTCAATAAATGTTTGTAGAATGAGCAGATGAATAAACAAACAAAAATAAATAAATAAACATTGTTATCTGCTCTGTGACCATGAAGAACCCATTTAATCTCTAGGAATCTTCCTGTTTCCTCATGTATAAAACAACAAAATACTGACTTTGTCATACTCACAGGGTTGTCAAGAATCAATAGGCAAAATTTAAGGGAATACTTTGTAAACTTTAAGGGATCATACAAATGTAAATTAACTACTTCCCCCTTAGTTCAAATCTCCTAATTAATGCCTTCTAGTGTAATGATGTCTTCACATATTGCCTACTCTTCTTTCTGTCTATAACAAATACTAAGCCTCTAAAGAAATATACATTATCACAAGAAATATGATTACTCACATAAGTAATGTCTCCCAAAACAAATCACCAGATAGAAGATAAAGCTAGAAATAAGCTAGAATTAGAAACTGTGTCTATTGTAAGATAACATTCTACAAAGTTATTTTATATAAAATAAAATCAAAAGTTCAACTCACCGCACATTTTTCCACTTTGCCAGCATTATTAGCCCATTTTACTAAAGCTAGTAATCGAACAAAGAGTTGACGTGTCCGACTAGCAAACTGCACTATTTCTATTTTCCTATAAAATAAAACAATTGTTAATGAACCAACAGATTTAAAAGAGCATTTCATAATTTATTTCATCTGAGCTAAAGTATGACTCAATCTTTGTTTAAAAGCATTACAATAAAATGAACCACCTACAATATTTATCTAACTACTTATACAGTCAAATTTTGTACAGCATCTGCATATTGTTTTTCACCTCATAGTAATAAATCCAAAAGAATGTTTTAGCAATAAGTCACATATTAACAATTAATTTTATATTGTTTATTACTAAAGTATACTAAATTCACAGTTATAAAGTCACTATACAGAAGTTAACAGGGTCACATAGGGGACCAAATAAGGAGTTATAAATTTCATTACTGAAATTATGAGTTGTGAATCAGTAACCTTTTTGGTAAAAGAAAGGAATTAAAATGGAGCTTGAAATTGTATTATGTCTACAAAAGCAAGGGCACAATTCACATCTTGCAAGGGCATGATTTTAAAAATTAGGTAATGAAAGAACTTAACTATGTAACTCTTTATCAAACTAATTTAAATGATAAACTTAGATATTAAATTAGCCAAGCAAAGAAGTTGAGTACTAAGAGTAAAAGCTAGAAGGTCTGTCCATATTTATTTTTATTCTATACTTGCAATGCTTTTTCTCCCAATACTTATTCATCACTATTTTTATTATCTCCTTTTAAAGTCTTTACCTGATCAAACAATGTGTTAGCTAGACCTCTCAACTTCCTGTCATCTAAAAAATTGATAATCATACCTCTCATGGCTCACCTTAAGACACTGAAAAAAAACACTCAACATGCCGTGACAATGGCAGGGACTGAACAGGACACCAACCTCCCTCCAAGTGGCTTTTGACCTATTAATCTTAGTACTCCTGTTCAATGATCTACAGATACAGTCCACATCTCTGCATCTTGACAACACCAATATCATGATACCAAAATAAAATTTTTGCTGAAGTATAATCCTGACTGAAGACTAGAGTCTAGCTCCTATTGACAGCATACATAGCCCACAAACAACCTGACAGTCTTCCTTCGGATCAGCCAGTCATATCATCAAGAAGACAGAGACAGTTATGACTCTTTGCCAGTGTCTGTGAAGGATCCTAAGAGATAAAATAAGTAGAGCCTCAAGGAAAGAGGGGGACACAACAGAAATATTCAATGTGAATTATGACCTGGCAGTTACCTCAGTGCCAGGAGCCTCAGTACTGTTACTCTAACTCAGGGATGGTTTACAGAAGATGAGAGGTCTCTGCTTCTCTTCCAGAAGAATTATATTTGTATGTTATTAATTTGGTTTCCCAAATGAGCTCCTCTACTGGAAAGAAGACACCCCGCTTTGCAAACTATTGTAAGATGTTTGTTTGTTTGTTGACACCATGCTATCTCAAGTGATAGGTTTTCCAGAGCCCAGTTACCCTTCTTACCTGAGAGTCAACAGCACAAACCCTGACTTTTTCATTTTCTTCCTTTAAAATTGACCAACCAAACCATAACACAGGCATGTTTCAATTGTCTCTTCCACCTCCACCTTTCTGATCTATGTCTAATCCTGTCAGAAAGGTCAGTTGGGGGTAGGGGTGGAGCATTGTCATTAATAAATGCTAAAATCCTCCCCAGTGACTTAGTATTTTTTTAAAAAAAAATCAGCCCTGGCAGGTGAGCTTCACGTGGCTGGAGCATCATCATCCTGTGAAGTAGAAGGTCACAGGTTCGATTCCCAGTTACGTTCAATTCCCAGTCAGGATACATACACGCCTAGGCTGTGGTTTAGTCCCTGTTGGGGCACCTGCGAGAGGCAGCCAATGGATGTTTCTCACAGGGATGTTTCTCCCCTCCTCTCCCTTTTTTCCCCCCTCTCTAAAACCAATAAACATGTCCTTGGGTGAGAATTAAAAAAAGAAGAAGTAATTTCACTGGATATAGAATTCTAGATTAATAGCTTTCCAGAAAAAGAAAAAAATCAACCAAGGAGCATAAGTAGTGTCACAGATACAGTTAGATAGCCTATGCTGTAGCCATAATTTAAATCTTAATTATACAATTTCTTTGAAACCTTAATTTGTATTGCTCATCTGGCCTATGGAAACATGATAGTAATAGTGTTTAATTATATCTTAAGCCCCAAACTCCAACTGAATCAAAACTCTCTCAATTATAAAACAGTAATTGGACTAGGCAAATGTTAATTCTCTAAAGAAATCTAATAGCATCGTTGTAGCAAATGGTAAATTAGCAGCCAACTTCCACGATCAGTCTACTTACTCCTCAGCTTCTTCCATTAAGTTCTGTATCTTCTACTCGCACATTTTCCTATGCCCCTAGGGACTTCACTTAAGTCAGTGACTAAATAAAGCTTTCTAGAACCTCAGGTCCAAAGCTGGTCACTCATCAAGAATTGTCCAGGATAAGGAAATTACAAACAAATAATGTGGGAAAAAATCACCCCAGGTGTTCTGGACCTGGGTTTCTGACCTACAGCCCACCACCCACACCCACACCCACTCTCACACACTTTGTCTCTCTCACACTCTCTCTCACACACACACATACTCTTTTGGATATATCAAAAGAGACACAGATTTAAGGATTTTTCATACTCACCTTTCCACATCAGATTTCCTTGGCAGTCTAAAAAGAAATAAAAACAAAAGAAATTGACTAATTATATGTATACCTTCATCAAAATATAAGTCTTTACTTTGACTCTATTGACTTTGACCTTAGTGTTTCAGAAAAATAGCCACTACAAGCTTGTGTGGCTATCAACTCTTTTTTTTTTTACTTTTATTACTTTCCAGCAATATGGCTATAAGGGAAAAACCAACAAAGGAACATTTATCTCCATTGGAAATGCTTCAAAAGGTACTGCATGAACCTTAGGTATTTAAAATGCCTTAGTCTTACATCAGCACACTATAGCAGGGAGTCAGAGAAAATATTCTTTTAAGACCAAAATGGTCACAGATGCAGAATACTACTTAGTTGCCAGTCTCCCCATATCCAGTGGAACCTTGCTTTCAAGCTGTAACCCTTCCCTGTTTTGTTATGGGTAAAAGTGGAAGCTGAGCACACAAAAGGGCCAGTGTCAGCAAAGGTTATACACAGTATTTATGACGTTGCATGTGGTTAGATGTAAATGACTTATATTACCTTTAAACAGCTCCAGTGTAGTTTTTTTTTTTTGTTAGTTCTCCAGAACTGATAGCTAGCAACCAATGTCACCATTTCCCCTGACAAATAATGGCATATGACACTCACACATCTGCTGTGCTTTTACAAAGGATCTGCCTCCCGAGTCTTCCTATTCTGCAAACCTCTATCCCATGGTTGAAGACTCAACTCTACTAAAGCCTCCCCTACCATTTAATTCTTCTTGAAGAATACGCACCAAGACCCTTAGATCCTCTTCTCTTACCCACATGCCACAGGTGCAGAAAAACTAAGACCAACTCCAAAGATTCAAGGTACAAGGAGGGAAAACTAAGAGTTCTGGCTTATAGTTACCTACAATCCTCATGGTAGACAGTGGGATGGACGCTAAAGATAGCATCCAAATAATAAAGGAAATCAAGTAGGAGCTGGAAGGACCAGCAAGACCAGGGGATGAAGCAAAAATAAAGGCTATACTGTGAGACTGGAAGTAAAAGCAGCTGTCAAGCTCCTCTACCTGGGAAAGTTCCTGAGATCACTCCTTGAGAAGCCACAATCTCTGTCCTCAAGGGAAAGAGATGGTAAGAACCATAGGTGTGTGTGTGTGTGTGTGTGTGTGTGTGTGTGTGTGAGAGAGAGAGAGAGAGAGAGAGAAACAGAGTAGAGCCTTTGAGGATAGAAAAAAACAGGAACCATTGTTCCAACTCTTCCTACCTGCCCCAGGGGCCCTGAAAGGATCATCTCATGTCAGAGGTCATATCATTTTAGGGACAAAAACCTGGCTTTGTGGTCTGTATCCCTTTTCCCCAAATTCCTCCTATTAAAAAATTCCTTTATTGAAAACAAATCCATGATTTGGGGCAAAAGCCTTAAAATGCTAATTTTTTGAAATGGTAAGTCACAGAAACTTTTTTTAAAAAATATTTTATTGATTATGCCATTGCAGTTGTTCTATTTCCCCCCTTCATTGCCCTCCACCCTGCACACCCTCTCGCCCACCATTCCCACCTTTAGTTTATGACCACATGTCTCAAGTTCTTTAGATACTATATTTCCCCTACTGTTCTTGCCCTCCCCCTATCTATTTTCTACCTACCATCTATGCTACTTATTTTCTGTACCTTCTCCCCCCTTTTCCTTCTCCCACTCCCCTGTTGCTAACCCACCATGTGATCTTCATTTCTATGGTTCTGCTCCTGTTCTAGCTGTCTTCTTAGTTTGCTTGTGTTTTAGGTGTGGTTGTTAATAACTGTGAGTTTGCTGTCCTTTCACTGTTCATGTTTTTTATCTCCTTTTTCTTAGATAAGTCCCTTTAACATTTCATATAATAAGGGCTTGGTGATGATGAACTCCTTGAATTTGGTCTTATCTGAGAAGCACTTTATCTGCCCTTCCATTCTAAATGAAAGCTTTGCTGGGTAGAGCGATCTTGGATGTAGGTCTTTGGATTTCATGACTTGGAATACTTCTTTCCAGCCCCTTCTTGTCTATAAAGTCTCTTTTGAGAAAACAGCTCACAGTCTGATGGGAACTCCTTTGTAGGTGACTGTCCCCTTATCTCTTGCTGCTTCTAGGATTCTCTCCTTCATTTTAATCTTGGCTCATGTAATGATGATGTGCCTTGGTGTGATGTGCCTTGGTGTGTTCTTTCTCGGGTCCAACTTCTTTGGGACTCTCTGAGCTTCCTGGATTTCCTGGAAGTCTATTTCCTTTGCCAGATTGGGGAAATTCTCCTTTATTATTTGTTCAAATAAGTTTTCCACTGTGGCTGTTCCTCTTCCCCTTCTGGTACCCCTATAATTCGGATGTTGGAACATTTAAAGTTGTCCTGGAGGTTCCTAAGCCTCTCTTCATTTTTTCGAATTCTTGTTTCTTCATCCTTTTCTCTTTGGTTATTTTTTTCCTCCTTCTGGTCCACTTCTTTGATTTGAGTCCCAGTTTCCTTTCCATCACTATTGGTTTCCTGTGCATTTCCCTTCATTCCAATTAGTTTAGCCTTCATATGTTCTTCTAATTTGTGACTAAAATTAACCATTTCTGTGAGCATCCTGATCATCAGTGTTTTGAACTGTGCATCTGAAAGTTTGGCTATTTCTTCATCGCTTAGATTTATTGGTTCTGGGGCTCTGAGTTGTTCTTGAGCCATGTTTTGATCAGTTTGTGCCTGTTACTTATGAGGAGCGGAGCCTTAGGTGTTCACCAGGGCAGGGCTACCCAGGTGGCTGGTTTGTGCTGCTGTATGCGGAGGCGGGGTCAGAGAGGGACAATAGCGGTCCCCTCTGCCACTTCCCACCGCTGGGGCCTTCATGGTCTGTCTTACTGCTTGCTCCTTCACCGGTTTATCTACGCGCAAATGTGTGACCACGGTCAGCCGTCAGTGGGTCCGCCTGCTACTCCACACCTGGGATCCGCCCACAGTTGCTGGCGCACCTGGGTCATGCACCTGGGTCGGTCCGGCGGCTCTTTCCTGCCTGACCCAGCTCTGCTGTTGGCTCTGCCCCTCTTACCGGTTTAGCTGAAGGATTCATTGTTGTCAGACTTCCGTATAGTTCAATTTTCTGTGGTTTGGCTGCATTTTTGTTGCTAAAACTTTGTTGTTTTTAAACTTGGTTGTGCGAGAAGGCACAGTGCTTCCACCTATGCCTCCACCTTGGCGGAAGCTCGAAACTTATTGCTATCTAAGAGTGGTTAGGTTTACATGACTGAAATTCCAGCATTTTCTGATTTTAATTTAAAGAGATTTTTAAAAAGAACAGATGCTAAGTCCCTAAGAAGTCAAAGCAGCCCTGGCTGGTGTGGCTCAGTGGATTGAGTGCCAGCCAGTTAACCAGAAGGTCGCCAGTTTGATTAGTTGGAGCACGCCTGGGTTGCTGGCTGGTCCCCTGATGGCAGAGTGTGAGAGGCAACCGATCAATGCTTCTCTCCTTCTTTCTCCCTCCCTTCCCCACCTCTCTAAAAATGAATGAATAAAACCTTAAAAAAAAAGCCAAGGAAGAGTGTAAACTCGAAGATGAGTGCATTTATATTGGGGGAGGGAGTGTGGCAGAAGCAGGTAGTGTATAAGCAAAGAAAAAAAATCTGGGGCCCAAAACAAACCACCTAAAATGCCAAGGCTGTCCTTTTTTCTTTTGATAGTTCACAGACAAGCATCAAATGTGGCAGAAATAAAACTCTTAAAAAGTGTCTTATTAAGAATAAGAATACTGACTTTACATTATTAATACATTTATCCTGACAGTTTATACCTGGAACAAGGAAAAACACATAATTTAAGAACTTCCAAGGTAGGTCCCTAAACTAATTTTGGTTACCACAAACCAAAAGAGAAAAAAGTTATTTTGTATATACCTATCAAGAGCAACAGTGAATCTTCCTATAAAATTTTTATGGTCTACAATGACAATTCTAAAAATTAATTCATTGATGTAGTAAATCAATGAATAATTAGTTAAATCCTGACTATGTGCCAGGCATTGTTCTAGGCCCCGTTTCCAGCAAAGCTCCCATTTAGAATGGAAGGGCAGATAAAGTGCTTCTCAGATAAGATCAAATTCAAGGAGTTCATCATCACCAAGCCCTTATTATATGAAATGTTAAAGGGGCTTACCTAAGAAAAAGATAATAAAGATGAACAGTGAAAGGACTGCAAACTCACAGTTATTAACAACCACACCTAAAACAAAAGCAAACTAAGAGGACAGCTAAATCAGGAGCAGAACCATAGAAATGAAGATCATCACGTGGCGGGTTAGCAACAGGGGAGTGGGAGAAGAAGGGGGAGAAGGAACAGAAAATATGTAGTATAGATGGTAGGTAGAAAATAGATAGGGGGGATGGCAAAAATAGTAGGGGAAATATAGAATCTAAAGAACTTGAGACATGTGGTCATAAACTAAAGGGGGGAATGGTGGGGGAGGGGGTGTGCAGGGTGGAGGGCAATGAAGGGGGGAAATAGAACAACTGTAATGGCATAATCAATAAAATATATTTAAAAAGTATAGTAGAGAAATGAAGAAGCCAAAGAACTTACATGCATGACCCATGGACATGAACTAAGAGGGGAGATTGCTGTAGGAAAGGGGGCTACCAGGGGGAGGGGGGCAAATGGGGAAACTTAGTACAACTGTAATAGCATAATCAATAAAATATATTAAAAAAATAAAGCAGTAAACAAATCAAAATCCCTGTCCTCACTGAGCTTCCGGTGGGGAGGAGACGGGCAATAAATAATGTCTGGTGGCAGTAAGTGCTTACGGAAAAAAAAGCAGTGAGTCAAAAAGGCTAGAAGGAAGAGGCAGAGGGTTTTTCATGGACAGTCAGGGAAAGTCTTTCTGATAAGTTATATCTGAACAAAGACCTAAAGGAAATGAGAAAGCAAACCACACAGAGTTCTAGAAGAGCAAACACTCTAAGGGAGGAGTGTGCCTGGCACTATCCAGAAACATCAAGAGGGTCAAGTGGCTGAAAAAGAATTAGGCAGAGTATTAATTAATTAATTAAGAGAGTATTGGGAAATGACATTAAAGAGATAAGGGAGAGAAGACACAGATCATGTAAGGCCTTAAAGCTGAGGTGATCACATGTCCTGGTTTGCCCAAGGTAGTTTCAGTTTATGACTGTTGCTTCGATATTATCACTAACACCACCCATCTTTCATGCTCGAAAGTGTCTTGATTTCCAAGTAGAAATAAAAGGCACCCAAATTGGAAAGGAGAAATTAAAACTGTCACTATTCACAGATGATATGATATTGTACATAGGAAACCCTAAGACTCCACCAAAAAAAAAACCACTACTAGATCTAATAAGTGAATTTGGCAAAGTGGCAGAATATAAAATTAGTATTTTGAAATCAGTGGCATGCTTATATACCAATAATGAGCTATCAGAAAGAGAAATTAATAAAACAATTCCATTTACTATTGTAACAACAACAAAAAATAGCAAGATACCCAGCAATAAATTTAACCAAGGAAGTAAAAAACCTGTACTTAGAAAGTCACAGGGCACTGAAGAAAGAAACTGAGGAAGCTACAAAAAAGTGGAAGCATATACCTTGTTCATGGACTAGAAGAACTAACATCATTAAAATGTCCATATTATCTAAAGCAACCTACAGAGTCAAAGCATTTCCTATTAAAACACCAATGATGTATTTCAAAGATCTAAAACAAATATTCCAAAAATTTATATATCTCCTCGGGCAAAGGAAACAAAGAAAAAAAATAAACAAATGGGACTACATCAAACTAAAAAGCTTTTTTTGGTGTGCAGCAAAACAAAAAGGGAATCCACTGAATGGGAGAACTTTATTTGCCAATGATACATCTGATAAGGGGTTAATTTCTAAAATATATAAAGAACTTACACACTTCAACACCAAGAAGACAAACAACACATTTACAAAATGGGCAAAGGACCTGAATAGATGATACGTCTCCAAAGATGACATAGAGATGGCCAATAGACGTGAAAAAATGTTCAACATCACTAATCACCAGAGAGATGCAAACTAAAACCACAATGAGATGCCACCTCACACCTGTCAGATGGCTATCATCAATGAATCAACAAATAGGTATTGGCCAGGATGTGGAGAAAAGGGAACTTTTGCACTATTGGGGGGGGGGGTGCAAATTGGTGCAGCCACTATGGAAAACAGTATGGAGTTACCTCAAAAAGTTAAAACTAAAACTGCTTTTTGACCCAGCAATCCCACTTCTGGGAATATATACTAAGAAATCCATAAACTAATTTAAAAGAATATATACACTTTCATGTTCATTGCAGCATTATTTACAATAGCCAAGATTTGGAATCGGCCCAAGTGTCCATCAGTAGATGAGTGGATAAAAAAGTTGCAGTAATTTATACAACAGAAAACTACACAGCGTAAAAAAGAAGGAAATCTTACCTTTTTTGACAGCATGGATGGACCTGGAGATTATTATGCTAAGTGAAATAAGCCAGACAGAGAAAGACAAATACCATATGATTTCACTTATATGTGGAATCTTATGAACAAAATAAAGTAACTGACAAAAATAGAAACAGAGGCATGAACACATGGAACAGACTGACAGCTGTCAGTGGGGAGGGGGAGGGGGGACTGAATGAAAGAAGATGAAGGGATTAACCAAAAACCATATATACATAACACATAGACACAAACAGTGTAGTGATAGCCAAAGGGAAAAGGAGATGGGGGACTAGGTGGAGGTGGGCAAAGTGAGGGAAAATGGAGGACAAAAAGAGACTTTGATTGGGGAGGTGGGCACATGATGCAGTGTGCAGATGTTTTATTGAGGTGTACATTTGCAACCTGTATGGTTTTGCGAACCAATGTCACCCCAATAAATCTAATTTTTTAGAAAAGTATCCCGATTTTTACCACAAATTTATGGTCACCCAACAAATAGGTGACTATAAAAACTCTTACTCTAAGTGAGATGGAGAACCACTGGAGGGCTGTGAGAAGGTTTAAAAGACCACCCTGGCTTTTTTTTTTTTTTTTTGAGGAAAAACTGTAGGGGGAAAGGGAAGCAGTACAGATACCAGTTAGCAGACTACTGCAGTAACACTGGCAAAGGAATAACACATGATGGAAATGTTGAAAAGTGGTCAGATTCTGAAGTCAGAGATGACTTGCTTTTATACTGGGTGTGGGGCTAGAAAAAAGAGGAGCCAGGAATGATTCCATTAGTTTTGATCTAAGTAATCACAGAAACAATGGAGATACTATTTAGTGAGATAGGAAAGGTTTGGGGGGATGGAGTGGAAGCAAGAATTTGCTTCTGGACTTGGTAAACTTAAAAGCCTATTAGGGATTTAAATGTAGGCATCTGGCTATAGAGTTTGGAGTTCTGTGGAGAGGTCTATATTGGGGACATAAGTGTGGGAATCATCATCATATAAAGGGTAGGGGATCAAAATCATACACTTATTCTACAGTGATAAAATGTTTCTCTCTTCATAACTAAGCCCTAAAATAGTAAGAACACCACAATGTGTTCAATGAATTTCTACAAATCCCTATGGAAAAAAAATTATACAAATTACACCATCACTGATAACAATAGTTTCTAACACATTTACATAGTTAAACATAGGAAATGTGACCTTCACATACATGCAATTTTCTCATGGACACTCTTGGATTTTTATGAAATCCAATGATAAATTACTACAATAATCCCTAATCATGACAACTACTTAAGTTTCTCATCAAACGGGTTGACTTTTTTCTCTCCCATTCAATAAAGTACAGTGTATTAAAATTGACTGAGAATGACGTTTTAAAGGAATAAGAATCTTTTCAAATTCTTTTAGTCATCTGCAGACAAATATTTTAACAGTCTCTAATAACAAATTACTATGACACTTTACAGACTAATACCTATATACTATTATTTCAATTGAAAACACTGATCTGGCGTCTAGCAACACAAGAACCAAAAAAGTAGTAATTCTTTCTTTTTCTGAACCTGGAGTAAAACACATAAAACAGTAATATGGTGCCTCTTCTTCACACACTAAAAAATCATTAGTGTATTATGATCCTATTCTGAAGGGATTACACTCTAATTATGTCGCAAAATCTTTTACTTACACTAAATGCATTGAGGTTTCAAATGTTCCAGAAAAAAAACCGAAGTCCAAAATTCTGGATTATTTTATATACATCTCCCGAATTCAAAGTTAAAAGCAGTTACAACCCACATTCAAACGTACCATCAAGATGCTGTAAAACAGATTTCCCATCTTTGGGATTTTTTAAAAAGCTCGAGTATTACGTATTCCTAAACCTTAATCTTGAGCTTTGAACTAAAAAGCTTCGAGCCAAGAAATCAATAGAGTTCTGTGGGCAACTTGATCAAAAATCCCAAAGATAAGATTTTCAAGGCAAGTCTAACAACGTATATAACTAACTAGTCTAGGTTGCTTCTCCAAAGACTACAAATACAACGTTTTCCACCTCCACCTAACCCCAGGAGCTCAGATATATATTGTCGAGTAAGCAGCCCCGCAGAGATGCGAAAACAGCAGCCTCTAGGGGAAAGGGAGGAGTAAACCTCTCTCAGCAGCTTGGGCGGGAAGGGGGAAGGAAGCTGGGGAGCAGACAGGGGTTTCGCGGCACTTACAGATCCGTCAACACCATAAGCTCCGAGTAGGCCCGGTGCAGCAGAAATTCGATGAGAGTGCTCAGCCGGTAGCCAGGGCTAGCCGCAGCGGCAGCAGCCGCCGCCACGGCGGCTCCAGGAGGAGGAGGCGCCGGGGCTGACGCGGGGCCGCCGCTGCCTCCGCCACCGCCTCCGGGCGGGACCAGCTGGTGGTTCTCCAGCTGTACTGGTGCCATGGTGGCGCAGGGTCGGGCTTGGCGCAGCGGCCCTAGAGCCTCAGGAGCGCTCGCTCACCGCGCCGAAGTGAGCACCAGCCGAGTCCGCCGCCTACCGCCAGACAGCCTCTGAACAGGAAGCCCAGCGCCGGACGCTGAGGCCCGCCCCCATATAGTGAGGAGCCCGCCAGCCCCAGGGACTGGAGCGGGGGGGGGGGAGGGGAAGGGCGGGGAAGCGCGACGGCTGCCGCAGAGAAGGTGCGCCCCCGCCAAGGATCAGAGTCCGTTTCGCCAGGCAGCCTCAGCATCCATATTGACGGCCCAAAGCGGAAGTCGATAGGCAGAACGGAAGGGGAACCTGCAGGGGGACTTCCGACACCAACGGAACTCTTTCTACCGTTGACGGTTTACCCGAACGCGCAAGGGTGCTTTGAGTGGGGCGGGGCCGGCGCGCGGGCTAGAATAACGGAAGCGGGGCTGCGCGCCACCGGAAGCGGTTGTGTAGGAGGAGCCAGACGGCAGTAGTTGCCCCACCCTTGCCCTCTCGGCTCTCAGGGTTTAAAAGGCTCCAATTTCCCTTAAGGTAACTATCCGCGTTCCCCAGTGAGATGCGAATCCGGCAGGGGAGCTTGTCTCCTGGATGTTCGTGAGTTGTGGTTCCGGAATAGCGAAAGAATTGTAACGGCTGCATACTTGTGACTTCTCAGGTCTTTGCACCTCCCACAGTCTGCTCATGCGCCTTTCGTGGGATAGAAAACGTTTCCGTCATTTTTTTTTTTTTTACTGTGGGAAAAGATGCGAGAAAATATGATTGGAGGTAGAAACAGGGCCCCTGGCAGAATAACTTCACTTTAATGGAGTTGGATGCTTACAGATGTTATTACCGACCCCCAAATTCCGGCAGGTATACACAGAAAACAGCCTTTAAATCCTCTCCTGCTGACTTTCCCTGCTGTTTGCAGTAGCTGCCCTGCCCTACACGGGCTTTCAGTTCGTCTTGTATGACCCACCGCCACTTTTTCCCCTCTCAAAATCCACGTTTCATATTTTGTTTTCTGCTTTAAAACGGTGATCTGAACCTCACCTGCACGTTGGACTGGGGGGAGGGTACTTTAAAAAAAAAAAACTATGCCGGCTTCACAGATTGGACTTTAATTGGTTTGATGTGAGAAGTCTGGCAGGCGTGATATTTTCCAAGCTTCCTAGGTCATTCTAATGTGCAGCTTAAGTTGAAATCCACTGTTAAAAAACCTTCATTTCTGCGACCCCTTTCAGTTTTTTGCACATTCCTAATGGTAACTCTCAGGTATCAGAGACGCTGTTGCTGTCCCTAAAGTTAAAATACTCTCGTTAGTCTCTACCTGTGTAGTCATTCTTGAAGGTCATTCCCTGGCTTTCTAAACGTGTGACCTACGGAGTGAAATTGCTTACTTCCTCCTGTTTTGGGTCCTAAAGCACATTTACTACAGAGTGTCACCGTGGTACTTGTCGAAAGCCATTAGGATTACATATAACACCAACAGGTGCAGTTGTTGCAGAGCAGAGACTCATTCGTCCTATACAGGTTACCTCAAGGGAACAAACACTTTTTTTTTTACAAGTTAACTAGAATTACCATTTCTTGTGCGGTTGTTTTTATTTGTTTTATTGAAGGTTTTTGCTCTCTTGGGGAAAAAAAGCTGGTCGTCACATACACACAAAAGATGGTGGTTGTACAACATGGTCCTTAAGGTTTCTTCTAACACTCAGATTCTGATTCTGTGTGATATTTATTGGATTTTAATTCTGCCTTATTGCAAATATTAAACACGTACACCATCCCTTTTGGTGTTTATTCTGTTTGGCAGTAAGATTCTATTTACAGAAAGTACAACCACCTTGCAAACAATAGAGAAAATAATGGGCGGGTGGGTTGTTTTAGGAAAGAGGAAGTCACTCACTCCCATCAGATTAGATTTCATTGAAATTTCTGAATTTGAATAGATATCTTTAAAAATTGACAACTAGTTACTTAAAAGGATGTTCTAAAAGAAAATAAGGTGAAAATATGGGAATAGGACTGTGAGATTTGATATGCTTGAATTGGAGATCGGGCAGCTAACATAAGTGAAATGTCAAGTATAGTCACCAGGAAAATACAGTAAGTGCTAGTAAAAGAAATGAGTGGAGGTGCCCTGGCTGGTGTGGCTCAGTGGATTGAATGCTGGCCTGTGAACCAAAGGGTTGCCAGTTTGGTTCCCAGTCAGGGCACATGCCTGAATTTCCCACCAGATCCCTGGTGGGGGGTGCACGAGAGGCAGCTGCTCATTGATGTTTCTCTCCCTCTCTGTCTTTCTCCCTTCCCCTCTCTCTAAAAATGAATAAATAAAAAAATATTTTAAAGAAATGAATGGAGGAAAGAAAATGCTAGAATGTTTGGCTGAATTACTAAAGAATGACTCACACCCAAAACACTTTTGAAAATAATGTAATTTATAATTTTAAAGCCTTCAGTACACCATTTGGTACTGTAGTATATGTACATACTTCTTGCCCTCACACTTTTCAATTGTTCCTCTAGTTGGTCATCACTAGATGCTATCACTGTAGCATATTTCCTCAGCTACTTAAAAAATTTTTTTCCAGTTACAGTTTACGTTGAATATTATTTTGTTCTCAGCTCTTAAATTGACCTAAACACTTCAGATCTTTCATGCAGTCAATCTGATTTCAATTAAAGGTACAAATTTAATTAATTAATTTTGACCAGGTTTATTAGGCTTCTACTATATGTAATCTTTATGTTTCAGAGATAAGTTTCAACCTCCCTTGTTACATAGTATAGAGATTTTTGGAACCCTGGCTGGTGTGGCTCAGTGGATTGAGCTCCCTCCTGCAAACCAAAGGGTTGCTGGTTCTAGTCACAGTCAGGGCACATTCCTGGGCTGCAGGCCAGGTCCCCAGTAGGGGGCATAGGAGAGGAAAGTACACATTGATGTTTCTCTCCCTCTTTCTTCCTCCCTTCTCCTCTGTCTAAAAATAAGTAAATAACTAACCTTAAAACCTTCTTTAAAACCTTTAAAAAAGGTTTAAAGTTTTTTGGAGTGGGGAAATAAAGGAACAAATTGACTGCAAAATATGGAGCAAAATACATTTCCTTTTAAGCCCTTTTGATGGAAAAATGAAATTATGATACATATAGTTTATTTTGGAACATACAGGTACCCCTCAGACACATAAGAGTGGGAGAGGAATTGGAATGTAGTTTCTTATTTCTTCTTAGAAGATTAAAATCAATTCCTTTAAAATGGGGAGCAAACGCAAAAGCTGCACTCATTCTCCAGATGCTCCTTTAATGGAGTTTAGGGAAGAAACTCACAACATTGTAAGTATGGTTTGACCAACCTAGAAAAAATGAGAACACTTTAATGACTTTGCATATTTACATGTGAAATGAAGTGACTAGGATTTCTTTTAAAATACTTCAGAAAAATAGTTGGGCAATGTAGATGAAGTAAGTTTGGCAGAATGTTGACAATTGTTAAACCGGATGATGGACAGATAGGAGTTCACTATGCTCTGTTCTTTCTCTTCTTTTCTGTGTGTGAGAATATACATAAAACAAAGTTTTAAAATTGAGATTGGATAATCAACTAAAGGCCCAGATCTTTTTTCCTTCCTAATGAACAGCCTTTAAGATATATCTACTCAATCTTTCATATTTTAAAAACATTTTTATAATTTGTAAAGTGTTTAAAACCAACATTAAAAAAAAAAGAAAACCGCTCTGACTGGTGTAGCTCAGTGGATTGAGTGCCAGCCTGCAACCTAAAGGGTCACTAGTTTGATTCCCATTCAGGGCACATGTCTGGGTTGTGGACCAGGTCCCTGATTGGGGGCATCTGAGAGGCAACCAGTCAATGTATCTCTCACACATGGATGTTTCTCTTCCTTTCATTCTCCCTCCCTTCCTATCTCTCTAAAAATAAGTAAATAAATGTTGTTTAAAATATGAAATTTTATAAAGAATACTCCAGCCGTAGCTGGTGTGGCTCAGTTGATTAGAGCATCATCCCATAAACCAAAATGTTGTAGGTTTGATTCCCTATCAGGGCACATGCCTAGGTTGTGGGTTTGTTCCCAGTTCCAGTCCAGGCAAGTGCAAGAGGCAACCAATTGTTTTTCTCTCACATAGATGTTTCTCTCCCTCTTTCCCTTCCTCCCCCTCTCTGTAGCATCATTGAGCATGTCCTCAGGTGGGGGCGGGGCAGGCATTGTGTGCACACAAGGAAAACTCAATTATAACTGCTTATAAAAGAGAAGCATCAAATATTTTAACAATTTTGCTTTCAGGCTTTGAAATGAGAATGTCTCAAAAAACTTACACAAATATATAATCTAAAAAATTTCTAACTATGCTAAAATTCAGTATGTTTTTGTTCACATAGTTACCTTGTTAAAAATTTTGTGGTGAGAACATTTAAGATCTACTCTCTTAGCAACTTTCAAGTACACATTACATGTCAGTTATAGGTATCATGCTATATATTAGATCCCTAAAACTTACTAATTTTGTAACAGGAAGTTTGTATCATTTTGGCCATCATTTATATCATAACATCTCTCCATTTCTTCCACCCCCAGCTCCTGGCAACTACCAATCTACTCTTTGTTTCAATGAGTTTGGCTTTTTTAGATTCCACTTATGAGATCATACAGTATTTGCCTTTCTATATCTGACTTATTTTATTTAGCATATTGTTCTCAAAGTTTTGTTCATGTTGTCACAAGTGTCAGAGTTTCCTTCTAGGAGAGGGCGCTACAATGGCCCTTAAAGGTATGGCCACAATCTCCTCATATGAGGAAGACACATCTGTGGGACTAGGACCCACCTGTGTGATTGCGCTAAATGACACTGAATTGTACACTTTAAAATCATTAATTTTATGTTATATGAATCTTATCTTGTTATAAAAGTACACTAAGGTTAATTTTAAAGGGCATATGAGTGGTAAAAATTATTAAGGGTTTAGTAAATGTTGATAGATTTATTTATTTCAAAAGGTATATAAATACCTTGAAAATTATTACATAGATGATATACAAAAAAAGTAAAATTAGATTTCAGTTTTCTCTTATGTAAAACAACCAAGTAATTCTCCACCTAGATAACAGTGGTTTCTGATACGACTTATTTAAAAGTCATAAGACTTATTTTGTTAA